AGGGATGAACCATATATCAAATACATTGAGTATTGGAATATATGACTAAAATCTGTTTATAAATAATTTTATACGAAAGAATACTTTGACATTTTTGTTCATTCATTATTTTTTAATACTCACATAGTAAATTATTTTAAGAATAATTAAAAAAAATATGAAGATGTTTATTTAAATAAAAAATATAAGTGTTTCAAGTGTGACGAAGTTGATTTTGTACGCCATCTGACTTTATTATTTTATCGTATAATAGTACTTTATTAAATGATTTAATGTACGGCCAATAATAAATGTTTCGTATAGTTTTTTTTTAATAATAAAACGGAATACAGTTTTCGTGCTGCAGTGCGCGGGAAGTGCGCTTGACGTTTGAACGCATACGCACCAGACGTGACACAAAGAATACAAGAATAATTAAGAATTTTATTGAAATTTTTGAATTAAATAATTTACGAATTTATTGTGGAGTGATTGAGATTGTTTAATTATATTTATTTTAGTGTTGCACTGACAAAATTATTTATATTTTTAATTTTCATGATAGTGATTGAAATATTATCGAGGTAAGTTTTAAAAATGTGACATATTATATTTTTAACGCTGTTTATTTTTGATAAACTAATATATATTTTATTTATTTATTTATAAATTAAAAGTGTGAAATTGAAAAAATTAAATATAATTCCGTCTGTAAACACGCAAGATAATTTCAGCGTTTATATGAAAAAATACTGTAATAATGCTTTTAAATTATTGTTTGTTACATTGTCTCTATAATATATAAGTTAAATTGATTGCCATACTAATAATAGCGTTGCTATATCTATATAAAATGTGTTTATTTGTTTGTCCGTACACATTGAATGTATAACGCATTTTCTATTAATATCGGGGTCTTCGTTCTACTATCACTTTCATTTCAAACACCAAAGAGAATAATACTATTAAGGAGTATTTAATACTTATAAATCATTCAATAAATAAGGTTTCTTTGTATTTAAATTAAACGATTCAACTGCAACTTGCCCTTTGAGTTAATGTTATCCTAATTTATTTAATATATTTGCAAGCTGATCAACGGCCAATGCAGTTGATCGTGTGACTTATGACGTATCGTACACGTGTTGGTGTATTTAAATTTAGATGAAGACGACGAAATATTATATGTCTTTGTTGTAAAAGGAATTTTACGAACAATGGAGATTAACAGGCAATTTTTTTGAGTTGAATTAAATTTGTAATCGAAATTATAGGAGAGATTTTAGAACAGCACCTTTGTAGAACTCCATAAAATATATATACTAGGATTATTCTTATATACCTAATTATTATTATAAAGATATGTATATATATAAACACATATGTATGTATGTTGAACTCTAGTTCAGCGTCTTCTTTTATATGTATTTATATATTCTTGTAATTAGTTTAATATTTTTTTAAAGAAATACTATTCGGTGTTAGTTTTACGTCTTAATTGAATGTATACAAATACAAATGTACTATCATGTGTAGAGCATTACCTCTCTTTGTCACGCTAGTCAAATTACTATTTACGTATCAACAAACCTACATTTTGTCTATTTTATAGTCATAAAAATTATATATAGGTTTTGTAACTACACTAAGTTTAAAAAAATCAACAATGCGTAATATTATCTGTGTGAATTTAATTAAAAAAAAGTTTAAATAGCCCAAATCTATTGTAGATTAAAAATGGCTTTACCATTTCTACTTTTAAATAATAATCGAATAAAAATAATATTTAATGCACGTTTTTTTTTTTACGTATGAAGACGCAGATCTTGTTAGAGTCAATTTTCATTACTATATACTTTACTGAAAACAATCTATTTGCCAAATCTATCTCTTTTAATGGTCATATAAAATATGGTATATAAAAGTATAACTCCCTATGAGTCTTCATTGATCTTTGTGAATAATAAGACTACTTTTATTTTCTATAATTTTGTATACTTTTTAATGTTATGTGAACTAGCTATTTGTATTGCTAATTATGTGTCAAATGCATGCATTCCACATGCAAATAAGTGATGTATGCTTAACAAAAGTTCTATCGTTACTATACACGCAGCGTTGACAGTTTCTCATTCATATTTCTTTGTACTAAGGTTTCGAATGAGAGACGGAAAACATTTCGTAAGTAGTCAGACTAATAGTAAGCATAATATCTTTACAGAAGTCACTTCTTAAGGACGAAATAGTCTTTTTAAGAACAGTAAATATTTAAAATTATGGCTTGTATATTTGATGACTATTTCATTTAAAATAAAACTGTATTTTAGGATTATGTTTTGTGTATATTTTTAAGTCATACAAAAAAGTCGCATCACGTTAAAATTATAATAACTATGCTTTAGTTTAATTTAAAAATATATATTTTATTTAAACCAAAATTATAATTATAATTGATGGCTTTTGTAAGTAAATAAACTTTATACATAATTTTTAATACATTTTTCAATACGTATGTATTTTGTTTTAGTTTAATATAAGTAGTTTGTCAAAGAAAATTATTAATTTCTTTTTGAATATTCTAAAATCTACAGTATATGAAGACCACGTATATCTTTAAACTTATCCAATGATAGTTTTATATGCTTTCTATTCTTTTCTATGTGTGTATTTTGTTTTGTAACAGATCTATCAAACGTGTTCTATGCTAGCTATGTTTATGGTACGAACGGTTGGAGCGAGAATTTAACAATGAATGTTTTATCAACAATTATTGATAGCTTTTAACGTCTTGTCTTTTTTGGCTTCCTAGAACTCAAGGCTACGTTTTGATTATAGTACCAACTATTAGGGTAAATACATAAGGGTAAATAGATATACAACGAATAGGGTAAATAGATATAAGGGTATTAAGGGTAAAAAATATAAGGGTAACAAGGTAATGATACAAAAAAAGAACGAGTTCTCTGAATTTTTGAGTATATTTTATTAATAGAGATTTTTAAAAGTTTCGTTTGATAAGCCAATGGTATACGCAAACCGCATTATACTCGTAGTTTTCTTATCTTTATTTCTGTCAAATAATTATTATTTTATAACTTTTTCTTCAATCAAGTGACAGTATAAATGCAAGTCGAATTTCGTTCGTGTAATAAAATGAAAACGCAATTCTTATTTGTTTCGTCATTTCAATCCTCTTTTTAAGTACTCTCTTTTGAATTTCTCTGCATATTTTTTTTATGAAGATTTTTCTAATACATTTCTTTTTAAGTGGAAATGTTTTTTTAATTACTTTAATGTTTTCACAATTATCTCTTGTTATCGTTCGTAAACGATTCTGTCGGTTTATCTTAATATAATGGTCGCCAATCGTTGTGTATTTAAAATATAAATTAAAAACAATCCCATACAATACCTCTTGTATAATGTGTTACGACAAATGTTACGTACTGGGGTATATAAAAGTGAAATTACGACCACTTCATTATACTTCATGAGCTCGTCTAAATAATACGTACCAGAGATTTAGTAAGTATTAATATTAATCTATTCGAGTAATTCTTAATAATAAATCGACTCAGATAATAAAAATTATACAATATTATACGTCTTTATTAATCACTTCTACAAAATAGTATTAATTGTTAATTAGGTAATAACATCATTATGTTTTCTTAATTACATATATTATAATCAAATCAAAGTAATATTATTGTCTCGTTTATAAAATTTATTCTGTCATTATTGTGTCGAGTTTTGTGTTGTGTGGACTGTTGATATATTTTTATTTATTAGCAATAAGATACAAATACACCAGCTATTTTGTAAAAGGTAATATGTTATACTTATATATATAATTCTTCTGTAAGTGTGTATGTCACTGAACTTCTCTCAAACGACTGGACCGGTTTTGATGAAATTTTTTGTGTGTGTTGAAGCGGATCTGGGAATGGTTTAGATTCACAATTTTGTCCGATTGACAATGTTTTTTTAATTAATTTTTAATTTAGTAGTAGTTGTTGATACAAACGTTTTTTTTGACATTAGGTTTGACAACTAACTCGTATGTCAATCATTCTGTCGCACTTCAAAACACGGAGATTTATGGCTTTAATAGGTAAACTCCAAAAATGTAAATAAAAAACGTAACAGATATTTCTTTATTATAGGGCGATACGAAGTTCGCCAGGTCTTCTAGTACTTATATATTATTAAATTATCTGTGTCTTTATCACAAGTTTTCGTTGGTTTCCCTACCCCAAGTTTTCAGTTTTTTACTACCAAATCCTCGGACAAGATACGAGTATAATTGTAGACATATGAATGAAAAACTGTTTCATAAACCGCAGTTAGTATATAATTTTTCGTCATTACTCACGCTACTCTATACATATACATAGGCCGTTTAACAGAGGACTAGAAATATTTATATCAAAAACTATGTAGCATTTTGATCAATAAGTAGTGATGAAGTTTAGATATTAATTATATTTTTAACTACTTATTCAGATAATTTTTTCTATCGTCACTAATGTCACTAAGTTAATGTCACTATGCATTTACATTCGCAAGTACCTGTGAACCACGTTACCATGTGTTTTATCTTCTTATTAAACTTAATTTATTAATATAATTCATTAATAAATTTTAATTTTTTTCCAGTGAAAATGATTGTCAACTTATATCTGTGACGTCATGCTGTGATCAATAATTTTTGCTTAAAATAAGATAAAACAATATCAAGGTAAGTGAATAGAAAATTTAAATATTACACGGGCTAGTATTATATATTTTTAGTGATATTTGACACTGTGAAGACTCAAAAAGACGAAAATTTTAAGCCGAAAATCTTAAAGTCCTTAAATGTTACGAATCTTTAAGAATAGTTTTCTCTACTTTTCTGTATTTTATATGATCAATATTTTCACAAATTTACCTTTCTTTATTCCTAGGAGTAATTCTATGTACATATATATAGTGAAATGGTCTATTTTAAGTCTAATCTAACGTGATACTTGCTTCAGATGTCGGCGCCTGTTGAAGAGGTTCAATTTAATCTGGACGGTATCCTAAGTGAGTTGGGAAGTTTTGGCAAGTACCAGCTGTTTCTGTTGGTGTTACTGGCTTTCAGAGACTCGTTTCTTCATATGTGCAACTTCAATTACGTCTTCACTGCCGCGGATGTACCTTTCAGGTAAGAAAAATAGAAGGTATTTTTTATATAGAGGAATATGTGCTAGTTGTTGTTAATATGCCAATAGCAAAAGTATCCAAAACTGTGTGAAAAAAGGTTTTTTAGAACTTTTAAAAGATAATTTCTAATTTTAATATTAATGATGTATATAATATAAAGTATGTTTCTATTACACGCTTCTTTCACACTCTATTGTTTATTATTATAAGATAAAATTTTTCCAATGTCGAATAACAAGTATACGAGTCCATTGTACTTCATCAATATTAGTAAGTGAACAGTTTAATAGCAATTGTTAATTTCTTTAATATTCTAGAGTTTGTAATAAATCTCAGAAACTCAATAACTGTTACTTTTTACAACGATTTTTATTGGTTTTAATTGTTTTTTTTTTACAGTTTCGAATGACGTAATTCATTTCTAGATGTTTTTTTATAATTAGCTGTTTTTTTTCAATGCCTGTCAGTTTGACGTATTATGGTGACATATTGTGTTGTCACTTTTCGTACCAATCTGTAATAATATGTCAAGTTAAATTTGACTTTACTGTCGACTTTGTACATTATAAACGATATATTAGGTTTTTTAACAAATAAGTATATATGTGTATCTACATACATATATATAATGAAAACTATTGGAACATTGATTGATTATTCATTAAAAAGAATGTACAATATATCATTATTACTCAATATATAATAATGGTATTCTATTCATTAATTAATTGTATAAATATTTCTTTCGTATGTTTAGTAATAAATTGGAGTATTTTATGATTTTTTTCCTATATTCACTGAATATTAAACAAAAATTATATTATTTTTTCAACAATCAATACATTTATATCTCTTTATAATTTTTATTATCTTTTTACTGTAGATGTCAAGTGCCTGAGTGTGAGTTGTCACCACCAATTTTCAATACCTCATGGAGCGACTACGCCACTCATAAGTCCGTATGCCTCCGCTCAGTAACTGAGCATACGAATATAACTGAGTGTACGCCGGATATGTTCATGGAGAACAAAACTATACATTGCGATGACGTTATATATGAGAATTACAATAGTATTGTTGCGGAGGTAAGTTATGATATTTTTTTGACAATGAAAATTAAAGATTAAATATGCAACTTCAAATCTTTTTTCGCGGTTTTTTGTATGTTGAAGAAATTTAAATATATTTAAGAAAGAAAACATTTAAAAATATTTGGATCAAGATTCATGTAGTTATTATGAGATTAGCTTAGCGATCTAATTTTTTTTTTTGTGAAATCATTTACTTATATACATATATCACCCGATTTTCCATTTCGTATTATTGATTTTACTATACAAAATCTATAGGGTCCGTATTATCTAAGTGAAAAATTTTATCGAAATCTGCGTGAAAATTTCCAAGCTTGAATCAAACTCATTTAAGTAGATATAAATTTTTAAATTGAATACAATAATTTTAGAGACTATAAATTCAATATATAAGTTATATTTACAATATTTATCGTGAATAAGCAACTATTTATACTTGCTATGTAAATAATGTGACCAATTTAGTTACATAATGTTGTAACCGAACCGTGAAATGACTCTCTTCGTCGGTGCTTCATCACGGTGTGTTCATTATCAAGGGCAAATGTACAATGTATAGTAAATTATTATATATTAATATACTGAGGATATATTATTCAATAATATATCATTCATTCATGTTCCCACCTTTTAAAGATGTTTTGTTTCGTATCAAAGATATAAATTATTCTCATTATATATATATATATATATATATATATATATTTAGTTTTAATATGTATAATATCCGTTGTTTGCGTGTCTGTTTTAAATTTTTGGTAGTGAATTGTAATGTAGATTCTACTATCTCTATTCTTCTTGATATTCTACTGACGCGGTCATTTTAAGAAATTTTCTAGAGTTTTATTATTATTTTTAACTGCTGTAAATTCAATAAACTATTATAATATTACCATACTGATTGACTAAGAGACCAATCAATAAATTCAAGTTTATTTCTATCAAAGAATGTTTTTAATAGTTATGTAGCACTTTTATATTTTAAACCTTGATGTCGATTAAATCAAGTATGTATATAAATTTTAACAATTCATAAAATAATTATTATAAATCTCGTTTGTCATATAGAAATGTTTGTCATCTTTATACAGTGAAAACAAAAAATAGTTGTTGCAAACTCCCCCATTAAATCGATTGGCAACGGTGACTAATTTGTGTTAAAAACATAAATTATTAAATATCATTGATATATACATACAATAAAGAAATATGTACCTATTTAAACGTGCTTTAAACAATGAATGAATTGAAACAATTACGGAATATAATAATATATTCGATCAAGACAAAATAAAATATTTTTGTGAAGAGTTTTTTTTTCTCTATTTCATAGTAAATATATGCTGAGCAAAATACACATGATAATTTAAATAATTACATAGTAAAACGAAACCTCTTAGCAGTCAAAGGATTCACCGTGCGGGTATCGAGTCCATCGCGTTATATAAAATTAAATTACATAATTATATATAGTTTTGTTCAATGATTAGGTACCTAATAAATACAGTTCCTGGGAACTACATATATCTTAGGAATTTGATATACGGAAGAAGGTTTTTGACCCATGAGTGAAAGTAACCGATCGTATTAATTTTCGCGGTTAGATTTTGCAGACGAAGTATTAATCATATAATAATTGGTACAAAATAGACAAATAAATGACATAATGAGATCTAAGATTCTATGTTTTATTCATATAAATGAAACTAATATTTTTCGGATATATGTACTACGCGACTTTATTTTTGACATCTCGTCTGCCCGTGATCACGGTTGCTGAAAAGTAGCCGAAACGTCGGGAGTATGTAGATTTTTTAACGAAAATAAAGCACGCGTAGTACCTATATTCGAAAAATATTAGTTTCATTTAAATAAATAAAACTCGCGAAAGTCTCAGATGTGATCATATCTATTTATTCATTTGTGTTGTGCAAAACATTATATCTGATTTATCGATAAAATTAAAATCGAGTTAACTATTCAATTTTATTCACGCGGAGTCAATCACGCCTCATATCGTATGTAGGTTTTTACAAAAAAATAATCGCGTAGTATATCCGAAAAATATTAGTTTTATTTAAATATATGATATAATTTTCCAGTTCAACTTGGGATGTCAGCCTTGGAAAAGGACTTTAATTGGAACTGTACATAATCTTGGACTTGTATTTTCTTATATTATTTCGGGGATAATATCAGACAGGTATGAATGACAAGTTTTATGTGTATTTGTACGTATTCTTTAAGAAATGTGTCTGATAAGTGGGTTTTCTGTCACAGGTATGGTCGTAAGGTGATAATAGTTGGTACTCCATTGATGGTGGGAATCGCTGGTCTACTGAAATCATTCACTTTCGACTACTGGTCGCTACTTGTTTTGGAATTTCTGGAAACTGCGCTGGGATATGGAAACGCTTCTATGGTTTTATGTGAGTCTTTATTTGATATATCAATCTATTGTATACATTTTATCGCAGATTTTATAATATCTATATATAAAAGAAAGTCGTGTTAGTTACACTATTTATAACTCAAGAACGGCTGTACGGATTTGGCTGGAAATTTGTTGGTAGGTAAGTTGGAATCAGGAGGCGGACATCAAATACTTTTGAATTCATTCGACGGATAAAATTGGTAGTAAAATCCCAAATCTGTTTATTTACTGCCTCTAAATCAAAACAATTCGGGTCAGCTATACATTTATATTTATGAAACTAACGGGGACAAAGTCGCGGGCAGAAGCTAGTTATTACTAAACGAAGATTTTTGCGCCCAAATATGGACCTTTACGTAAAAATTTATATTGAAAAGCCATTAATAATAATAATTGAAAATTATAATTTGTATATATTTTCTTTCAGCCCTGGAAACAGTGAGTCAGAAAAGTCGCGTAGCATTCTCATGCATTTCCGACATTCTATCAAGTCTTGGTGCAGCACTTTTTGGTCTTATAGCTTGGAAAATACCCTATTGGAGATATATGATGCGAGCTATTTATGCTCCATTACTGATTGTGGTATGATATATTTAAATTTATTTAGATATGATACAAAGAATTAAGACTTCTATGAGTATTCATTTAAGTGAAACTAATATTTACTTACTACGCATTGTTTTATCCTACTAATATTATAATTGTGAAAGTTTGTGAGTGTGTATGTATGTTTGTTGCTTCTTCACGCTCAAACAGCTGAACCGATTTTGATAAAAAATTGTATACAGGAAGCTGACGACTAGAAATAACACATAGGCTACTTTACATCCCGGAAATCCGCGGGTAATACCGCGGGGCCCGACTGGTTATTAATAAAACTAGCTACTTATTTGTGTTACTTTAAAGTAATGCGTTGTAATCCGATAATATTAGTTTTATTTATTTAATATATTTGTTTCCAGGTATTTTATATTTTCCTTGTCGATGAAGGAGTGCGATGGCTCTTAGCTCATAACAGGAAAGAAGAGGCCGTCCGAGTTTTAAACAAAGTTGCTAAAATAAATAATATAACGCTTTCAAACAAAGCTAAAGAAATGCTATCTACTATATCTAACGAGCAAAACAGGATGGTTGAGGTAATTATGTTTTTAACGTATTTTTTTTTGGGTTCAATAATATTTATGTTTTGGTAAATTCTAAAATACATAGGTTGGTTGCAATAATATTTTTTTTTTGAGTGCCATAATAATTGTTTTGATAGATTCTAAAAGAGAATAATTGAAGTAATTTTTTTTAACGTATTTTTTTTGAGTTCCACAATAATTATGTTTTGATAAATTATAAAACATTATTGTTGACGCAATTACTCATTTAACGTTTCTTTTTTGGTCCAATAATATTTTTTTCGTTTTCAGTTGAACCAGCAGTCTAAACATGAACCGGTTGAAATCCTCTCAGTTCTCCGATCAAAGACAATTCTTGTCCGTCTATCTGTGATAGCCGCTTGCTTTATATGCAGTATGTTCGTGTTCAGCGGTGCCATTATATATTCAACTAATATATCTGGAAATAAATATATGAACTATTCAATGATGATACTCTTAGGAGTTCCAACCAGGATTATCACAGCTTTTACGTTGACTAGATTCGGAAGGAAGGCTCCTATATGCATTGCTTACTGTCTTTGCTCGTGTTTCTTCATGGCCTCCGCTTTCGTGCCCAAATGTAAGCTATATATGTAATTATTATAATAACCTAGATAGATATATTAATAATGATATATAGTTTAAAGAATTTTAAATAGCAGATCGAATTAAGAATCATTATCGTTAGTTACTCGACACACTTTACTGTATTTTAGATAAACAAAATATTTTAATTGCTTTTATATATATTTCATATAATATTTAATTAAAAAACAATGTCACTTCATCAATTGTTAGGTTGTTGTCTATTTAAACTTTTAGGTAGGTGGAATGAAACTTAAAAAATGTTTTATATTAAATTTGTAAGTCACGCTATTTTATGTACAAAAATTTTCACTGATTTTGATAAAAGGACTGGCATATGTTTTATTCTTTCAAACTGTAACTTACATATAAAAAAGTCTAGTTTACTTATTTGATATGAACTACCATACATACGTACAACTTAATATATTAATGTTTGCAAAGCAAGACATAATTTGTCATTATTGGGATATTACGTATACGATCAAAGACTTCAATTTCAAAATTCGTTTAGTTTTAACCACATGCAATAAGCAATCTACATTTAAAACAATAATACGCCGTTTCTTTTCCAGCAATAGCCTGGGCTTCTACTATTCTGTACATGATCGGTAAAATGTGCAGTAGTTACGGCATCTTCTCAGTGTATGTAGTCGGTATGGAGATATTCCCGACTACCTCCAGAAACTCTCTCGCCAATATTGCGAATACAGTCGGCAGGATTGGTTCTGTTATCGCTCCACAGACGCCCTTATTGGTAATTATTTATTGTAGTTATTTTTTAACTAAAGTATGATTGGAAGTCTAACTGATATTACGTATTTGATTATTTAGTTATGCTAGTTAATACTCTTAAGATTTAAATAATAGCAATGCGTTAAAGTAAAATTTGAAAAAAAATATAACGTTGAGAGGATTTTCCGTGAGTACCTTTAAAATTACGAAGATATTATAAATTTGAGTAGAGTATAATATCTTTTTGTTGTTAACGATCAATCAACTGAAAATGGGTCAAGTCGCTCTGTTTTTTTTTTAGTTTCGACTTGACTTATGCTGTTAGCCCTAGTGGCTTTAACAGCATCACCGAGAGGGGAGCTCTGTCATATTTTACATTGTTTTTGTCCGATTTCTTCTTCATGAGTATTTCCTATCATATGGCAGAAAAAAAACACATTCTAAAAGAATATAACTTTCGCCACATTTATTTAAATGAAAATAATATTATCGGATTACTACGCGTATTTATTAATTTTACTACATAGTCCTGACGTTTCTAATACTTTTCAGCAATGATCAGGAACAGATGAGATGAGAACGCTTAGTTTTCCGATAAATATCACTTTCATTTAAATGAATACTTACAAACTTATATCTCATTATTTTATTTATATATTTACAAATACAAATATCTTCAGTTTAAACATATATAATATTCATTATTCAGGAGAAGTACATGCCCGGCCTGCCAATGGTAGTATTTTCATTGGCCGCGTTAGGCCCGGCGTTACTTGCGCTCCTACTACCCGACACAAGCGCCGCTCTACCCGATCGATTGAAGGACATACAGGTACAGGAGAAAACGGGAGCAGTTACTAGCGAGAGTGCTTAGGGTCATTGATGACGTCACAGTGATGACGTCACGGAAGAGACGCGATTTGGATCATCACAGCTCAAATTCATTTAGTGCATTCATTCATATTATGAAAGATAAGGTTGTCATTTAAATGTAAGACTATAAATGAACTATTTGGTTATCGTATAATAGTGCTATGCTTATAAATTTCCAAATATTATGTGATTGCCATCGTGAAAAATAGAATATGGATATGCAAGAGTTATAAGGAAACGAAGAATTGCAAAAATTTAATTAAAAAATTAAATTTTAGGATCCACCTTTTGAGCAATTTGTAATGGTACCTAAGTATAAAATCAATTTTACAAATGATAAATTCGTTTTGTTCCTGTTTTTGTGATGAATATGATCGCAATTTGTGTAATTATAAGTACTCTTACAGATCGAATGAGAAAAAATATTAGTGCCTATATAAAAATGATTTAAATACATCGGACCAAGTTTCTTAGATCGGGTATATTTTATATAGTAAGAATATTTGTAAGTTTTTTTTATGTTTTTAAACTGTATCTTTTGTTTGAATGGTTATGATATTGGAAGGTATATGTTGATATAACTGTGTATACAGGGTGACTGGTGAATTACTATCAATATTTAAGGAGGATACTCGGTACATGATTCTCATTCGAATTATGTAAAAAAAATAGGCACTTAATATTTGACAAAATTTCCGTATAAATAAATAAAGTGTTGACACGTTCCAAGTGTTAAAGTGTGAACGCGTGCGGCGGCGTGCTGATACAACACTACGTCACGACACGCGTCTGTGTGAGTGTGTGTGTATACCTAATCTGTAGGGTGCTCACACGATGCGTAATTAATTACATAACTTTTGGTTAACTTTACTTAGTAGTTTATTAATATTTATGTTATATTAATTTTTATTTTGTCATATATGATCGTCAAATATCACGTCCTCAAATATCGATAGTAATTCACCAGTCACCCTGTATAAATGAAATGTGGTATTTTCATCTGTAATGTTCCCGGAACATATTTATTTATTGATGAATATTTTTTTAAATTTATTATAATTGACTTTGATTAATTGAAATCATTGTTTTGTTTTTATTAAACATTTCAAATTAATCGTCACTGTTTTTGTTAATCCTTATTAGTTTTAAGTTCTTACTTCTTTATGTTATCTCATGATTTATTTTTAATATTAAAATAGTACAATAATATTGGATAGACAAAACAAAATGAAAAAACAGTAGCTTTTTTTAGAGACCAATAAATAAATATCAAAATTAAAGAAAGTCACGTTCAAAGCAAAATTAATTATTATATTAACACATCTCAACAACTATCGAAAAATTAATTCTTGCGTAAAGTCAAGAAAGAAAAGGCAAGTGCAAAGTTGTTTGAGTTTCAAAAAAAAAAAAATGTATGCAAGTGTCTGTAGAAACTGAAAATAAGTTTATGAACTAAAACTAATGCTAAGAGTTGAGTACGGACATTCATTATTACAACCAATCATTATTATTAACGTTACTGAGAATAAAAAAAGAACAAAGAAATTTAAATTATATCTCGAAACTTCTAGCTCCCAAAGTCATTTGTAGAAAGTTTGCCAAATAAGTGGTATTATTGACAGAAAACTCAAATGAGGGTTGAAGGAGATATATATTCCTTCTGTATATGATATGAATGTGATATTGAAATAATGTTAACTTCAGTTAGTAAGTCTTGAATGAAAATGAATCTTCCCAACTCCCAGTTCAATTCTTAAAATACATATAAGTCAGATATATACTTTTTGTTCTTAAGCATTTTAGTTCAGTTATCTTCTGTGTTCTTTTCAGAACATGGCGTCCTCTTATAATTTCGATAGCTAACATTTTCTTTGTACAGGTTTTGCATGTTTTTGTCTGATGATTATATAAAAATATTTAAATTGGATGAACTTTATTAAAGAACACAATTCGCTTTTTCTCTTCACAAAACGTTTTGATTATCGATGTGTCTACTTAAAGTTTTAAATACAAATTTTTTTCTTGTTCTCATTGTCCACTTTGTATTCTATGACACCATAAATAGTAACTGCTTGATATAAATTAAAACTATCACGTTTTTGTCATTTTTTCGATTAAAGATGTTAAATTTATAAAACTGGCCAAGGTTTTTAACTTTTTAATGATATAATTATTTTATGTTTAACCGATGAAACTAAGAATTACATATTTATTTTAACTTGTCTTCAAATAATTTCACTTGTTAATTAATACATATATATATATATATATCACAAATACCACCAAAGTAGTTATATCTCGTCATTTTTTTTAAAGTATACTTTAAATATTTTACTTCAATCACCGTGAGCTTCTTCCCGGGTCGACATTTCTACCAAGTTTCTCAGCTTCAGCCAATGTATCAGGCATCTTTGTTCCTAAGGTTTCTGGTTGTGATAAAACTAGTAAGCCTGATATAACTCCCATAGTGGCAAACATCATACACGGTGTCCCATACCAATAAGACATCTGAAAAAAAATACTTTAGCATTATTTTTCTCGTCACATGACACAGAAATTGTTAAATTCTATTTGTATAAAAAGAAATCCTTATCATAAAATGTATCTTATTAGAATTGGGTAGTACAGATTAATGTAAAAGTTTGAAAGATGTTTTAATCAAAAAATTATAAATTCTGTATTGTTTTGTAGTACGTTAAAGACATATCTTCACTCACAAGTACTGGAGTTAATGGCGCTGTAATAGCTCCAATACGTCCAATCATTGATGAGAATGCTAGTAAACTGTGGCGATACTCCGTTGGGTAAAGCTCGGAGGTGTATAAATACAATGACGTCATCACCATAGAAATACTGAACTTCCCAAGAAGAAAAAATACCAAACGGGTAATGGATAAGTCTGAAAATTATATGACAATATAAAATAGGGTTAAAATTTACATGCATGGTATCAAAGTTTTATTTTTAATGGCAAAATGGTTTATATCACAGTACAGAAAAAATAATATATATTTTATTAGACATATACAAAAAGGAATATATAAAGTATATAGCAAAATTCGAATATTTTCTTAATAATCAATGAGGTTATATACTTATTTATTATAAATCAATTCTAATTTATATTAAGACATACGTTTAGATTTACTTAAAGATTATTTAAATATACTCACTGTATGGTATAAATACAAAGGCTATATTACATATAGCGCTAAAAAAGAAGCCGGAGGATAGTGTTAGTTTCCGTCCGGTTCTGTCCATCACCAAGACAGCCGTATAAAACCCTGGGATTTCGATGATGCAGGTCAAAATAAAGTTCAGGTACATGGTCTCAGAGAGATGTGCTGAGTTGATTGATAGACCGTAATACACAAATATTGTAGTTATCCACCAGACAGGAGTAGTCAATACTCTTCTTAGCAATATGGGAGAGTTAATTATCGCATGGAACAAATTAGGTTTTCCCTCCTGAAAACATATAATTTATACTTAACATTTTACATACATTTTTGGTTTCAAAGTAAGTTTTATTTAACATGTTTTATAAATACCTTTTCAAGTGGTTGCTGTGGTATATTTATCAACGCTTCCAAGGACTTGTTACTTATCCGTGTTCTATTTATTCTGGCAACATTTTCTAAAATCTTCCTAGCCTCGTCAAACTTTCTTTTTGATAGCAACCATCGAATGCTTTCTGATAATACTCCACAGTAAAGTATAACCAGGAAACCGGGAACGTGGAGAGCAATCAACATATATCTCCAAGGCTGGACAAGCCATGCTATAGTACCAAGAATGACTTCCCCGAGAGCAAATATCGAGGATAAAGTCGCACTGACAGCCACTCGGTATTTTGGCCCAACTAGTTCAGCAGCTAAAATAAAGATTAAGTGTGAGAATGTTTCATTTTTAGCAAAATTTAAAGTAATCCAAGTAGTATGTGTTCTCTCACCAAAAATATAAGCAGAGCTGAAGGTACCCGCACCAAGCGTTGTTTGAACTATTTGAAGAATCAGATACATTAAGTAATTTGTTGAGAAGGCTCTGATGAGACCGAAGAGGCTTAAATTGAATACGCTGACGACCAACGCCAGTTTTCGTCCGTAACGGTCTGAGACGTACCCTGTTATTGGCATTGCTAGCAATATACCAGCACTATTAAGAGTTCCCGCCAAAGCTCTCAACCAATCTTGACATCCAAGATCAAACTGAAATAAAATACTTTTATAGTTTGTCTTAATAACGATAGAAAGAAACTAACATCGCTTATAGCTATAATACCTAATAAACTTCTGTAACGAATACTCACGTCATATACAACTGAATTGTTGTTAGCGTAAACATATCCTTCACAAGCGATAGTTTTGTTCATATTAAACAGAGTAGCGGGGCAGTACTCTATCGATCCATACATGCTTTCGCCTTGGGGAGCATATCTTGTACAGTAAGAAATGCCATAACCAGTTTTGGGAGCAGCATTGCTGATCCAATTTTGATTATATTCTTGGAACATATCTTCCTCACCACATTCAGGTATTTGACACCTAAAATAATAGTAAAAATGATGTCTGTTAGACTACAAAATTGGTAGGTGTTGATATTAAGAATCGTATTGTAAGGAGCCAAATTTTTCCAAACATTTTTTTTTATACTCGTATAATAATAAAAATGTTTTGCTTGAATAAAAAAATATTGGAATTATTACAAAAAAAATTTGCTGAAGTGTTTAGTCACAAATAAAGAATAGTTGAGAAAATACAGTCGACAGAATAATTTTCGGAAATTAGTAAAAATCTGTATACAATATTAGCTGTGAACTTTTAAAAAAGAATTATATATTTGTTGATGTTTATTTGTTTCACGCACGTGATCATAATAAACAATAAAGTCGAATCTGATACGATTTCATTCACAAGGTTAATAACTCGTGACATGGCCGCCGAGGAAAACAATTGACGGACTGATTAGTTGTAATTAAATAACTGTTCATTGATTTGCGGCGGAGATACACGTTTTAGTTAGAAAACATATTAGGTTAAAACTTACAAATCTAAACCGAAAGAATATATAAATGTGACAACAGTGTAAGGAATTTTATGATAATGAAATTCACTCAATTCTTTCGACTTACATTTTTAGGAGTCAAAATAAACATACCTAAGTTAAAGCATTGTCCAAAATAATAAGATAAAATGTGTATATTATTTACCGATGCGGTATAGCTGCTGCAGAAAACACATATTCACTCATGAACGCAGACATCATTATCGGTATGATCACCAGAATGATGTTCCTTAACTGGAAGTAGCCGAACTGGCCGAGTTCGTTGGCCAAGACATCATCGAGATCCACCGGTTTGTCAGCTACATCAGGATTTTCATCTGTTCTGTCTTTCATCATGTTTATTTCGTTCAATCTTCAACGCGTTCGATCACCGAATGAATTTATACTTTGCCCACCAATTATTATTTAGGTCAGACGCTTTGGCATCCCAGTAGATGGTTAAGCTTGGCGCATATACAGAACGCCACGTGAGTGCGTTTGCGCAAGTTCACTCGTCTCAGCTGAAATGAAAAGTTGAATACTCCGTTCGACAATTGTGAAGCTTCAATAAATTGACTTATTGAGTTGATATTAATTGATCTTAAGTACAATGCATTCCTACGTCATGCAGTCAGTCTAGTGTACATATTTATTTATATATAAACGTAAAATTTTGCTCATATTATATGCTTTAAACATGTAAACATATAAAATGATTTTCATCTTCAAATTCTGAATATAAAACATATTTTTAAGCACTTGTAATTAATTTGTATCTGATACAATTTTGAAATGACTTCCGATTTTCTAAAATCAGACATTCTTTATTAGTAAAATCAAGAAAAAACCTGATCATATAAAAAAATTGATCGCTGCTTTTTTATTTTGATTGATGATGGTCTATTGGATAGAACCGTGTATTCAATGTCTATTGACCTTGAAATATTGGAAGTTTGGAAGTTGAAGAACAGTGTGATGATGTCTGATGTTATTGTCTATAGTTGCAGGAATTAATTTCAAGGACAGTTGTAGTTCTTAATTATCCATTTTTGCTGTTACAATCAGCGGCACAAACCGTCTGAAGCTCTTATGATCTTCCTTTGTTATGACAAGGTTGTAAAAGATGGCGATTGTTAGGAAGTTAGGAGAAGTGTCACAATTAAGTTCTGATTTACAACTTTGAGATGACAACAATGATTTTTTTTGTTTTATGAATACGCAGAGCCTGATCTCTATTCTTTTCAAAATATATGAAGTAAACAATTGCCTTTTTAATACTGCAGGCGTTATGATCCGAAGGATAAAGATTTACTGTTTTATACGTGATCTGTAAGATAAGGTACATATGTTTAATCATAATTTATTGTAGTGAACTTAAGCCTGTACTATTATTTTCTATTAACAACAATGTCCCTTTTAATAATTGAGATAATAATTCATAAATTAACAAGTGTAAACTACACGTTCTGAATGACGACTCTTATACTATTCTCTAGTCTTATTTTATAAATCATTAGATATAATAAATAGTTTAAATGTTAAAAAGGATTTATATTTGATTTGTAACGATATGCTCTTTTGATTCTATTCCTAGACTCAAATGTATAGGTTCTATTAATCACATTTAAAATTCACTGAAATATTTATTAATTATTATTAGGTCAACTAAAATAATTGCGCAAGTTCTAGTTTTAAAAAATAAGCTGTTACATATATACCTACTGATACAATGCGGACTGTTTTGTGAAAAAGAACAAAGTGACTCAGATACAATTAATCAAGTAATAAGACTTGTATGACTTAAAATTGCGTTGTAAAACTGGTTACATGTCAGTTATTTCTTCAATGAAATCGAGTATAGAGAATAAACTATGGATTTAATTCCGATTTAACCTACTTCATTATACGTTGTTATTTATTTTATGTTCCCAAAAAGGGTTGATGTCAGGCAGGCGGCCGGTCGTAAAAACAATTAGCCAAAACTATTCACAACATGTAAGGCAGACTCTGACTATAGCTGGAAAATTGTCAGGTAGAAGAAGATTATACGTACTTAATTTCTTTCTCCGTATAATAACTACTGCACACAAGGATGGATAAATTTAATAGACCTTTATTATAATAATTTTATTAATATATAACTTACACTAGTTTCATTTAAACATTATGTATAATTCTTAATACTAATAATGTAAACTTAATGAGAGATGATATAGAGAGTATTTGTTATTTATACAGTTGGTTTTCTGCCGATGGCTTCTGCTTCTGCCAAGGTATCAGGCATTGTAGTGCCGAGGGTTTCTGGTTGCGTGAGTACGAGGATTCCAGCCAGTATACCCATAGCCCCGAACATCATTGACGGTATACCGTGCCAGTAGTTCATCTGGAAATGGATGTTATTCTTATTAATACAGTTGGTGGAATGCTAAAGGATATATGCGTTTTCTGTGTGTGTATAATGTAGAACCAAACCGTATTAATATCAAGAAAAAGTTTAAAAATATTTCACACTAGTTTTTGTTCGCGACTTCGTCTGAGTTAGTTTCAGAATTAGAAATGTATAGTCGGGCGAACTCTATTCCTCCTTAAAGACAGTGAGATAAGAAGATTTTGGATTTGATCAACTTTTTTCTTTTTTATCGGATTATAAGTATCCTATGCCCTTTCTCTTGTTCTAAGCTATCCACCAATTTTCAGTCAAATCCGTACCGAACTTCTTGAGTTATAAATAGTGTAACTAACACGACTTACTTTGTATATACATATAAGAATTCACAACGGTATGATTGTACATGTTTCAACCCAGACGAGGTCTCACAATTGTTTTAAAATAATAGATTAATATTTTGAATAACTTAAATGATACGTTATTCATAGCTGATTAAAACTATACTGCATATATCAATCAATCATATGTATCGGATTATCAGTAATTATTATCAATTCTTATTATATATTTTTGACGTCCTCCATAACTGGGAATTTGAATAGATTAAATTATAATCAATTAATTATGTATTAGGGTCGTTCAGAAAACATACATTCTACGTTTCACTGACGCTGCCATCATCAATCATCATCAATATTGTATATATAAAACAAAGTCCCCCGTCGCGTCTGTCTGTCTGTTCGCAATAAATAGAAAAACTACTGCGCAAATTTATAAGCGGTTTTCACAATTCGATAGCGTGATTCTCTAGAAAGATTTAAATATATATTTTGTTAAGGTTTTGTATTAAATTGTATGTATATTAACGATATTTGTTGAAGATTTTGGGAAAAAATGAGCTGTCTGGGATCTTTTAACGAAAACGCTTCCAAAACTCTTTGAGATATAACAAAATAATGTACCGTGAAATTGTGTATCTAATATAGGTCTACAGAAAAGCCCCAGATAGCATATACCTATCTCTTAAGGATAACATACTATATCCATTTTACATCTTTTAAAAATTGCCATTCATAAAGCCTTTATATGAAAGCTATTTTCGTAATTACAGTTTTAAATCTTATCAAAATAAATTACTTCATGTGCAGGCCTATATCAATATCTATAGATTAATCTTTGAATTATTTAATTCGGACGTATCATTTGAAAGTTATCAAAAGTTTAATAATTCTCAGAATTCAATCCACGCGATAGATCACTTTTTCACATGATCAATTTTTTATACAAAATTTTTGTAATTTTCAACATAAACATTTCCAACTTAAATTTAATGCTATTGTTATAGCTCGAAATTTATTAAGTTTGCTCTTCCCTAAATTATCATATTATTTTTGAAGGAAAACATCGTGAGGAATCTTGGACTTATAATTTCCAATCATAAATTTGAAATCGAGTTTGAAATAGCCATGATGATTAATACTCTAAACTTCTCCATGTGAGTAGAAGTCTTTGCTTAGCATTGGGATCTGATAGGTTGATGATGATATAAGACAAGTAATATATGTACAAAATAATAATATTCTTACCAAAACAGGTGTAAGTGGAGCCGTTATAGATCCAAGACGGCCGACCATGGATGAGAAGGCCAGGAGACTGTGACGGTATTCAGTCGGGTAGAGCTCAGATGTGAACAGGTACAGCGACGTCATTACCACAGAGATACCGAATTTACCAAAGAGGAAAATAATTAGGCGGAGAACGGATAAATCTGGAATAAGAAATAATATATTTAAAACAATCGAAAATAAAAATCATTGTTATTTTTTTGTGTTTACGTATTAAATATGGAAAATAAATGTTATCTGGTAAAGGATATGTTTGTTGCACTTTAATAGTAAGTCCATTAATATAGAAAATATTTATTAAAACTCCGCTTGATATGTATATTTTTCAATTATAAATTTAACAATTTATCACAAATTAGTCTAGATCATACTTTCCCAAACTGGACAATAACATCTAAAGGGGGGTTGGGGAGAGACCCAGAAAAAAATAGGAGGGTTGTGTAGTTGAATAGTTATTGGGCCTGAGTTTAGTAATCATCTGTTATTTCATTTAGCTAGGATAAGTTATATTGATATTTCAGTAGATGAAAAAATGGAACCTCTAAAAATTAATTTACTCTCAAAGTAGGCAGTAGATAGAATAAGTTTGGGAACTCATAGATTTAGAACTTACCACTTGGTATAAAGACGAAAGCTATATTACAAGCAGCACTAAAGAAGAAACCGCTGGAGAGAGTTATTTTTCTTCCGATCCTGTCTAACACCAAGACTGCGGTGAAGTAACCGGGGATTTCGATAGCACATGTGAGTATATAGTTCAAATATATGGACTCCGATAGTCCAGTAGAATTAATAGAGAGTCCGTAGTAGACGAAGGTTGTTGTGATCCACCAAATAGGAGTAGTGCAGACCCGTCGCAATAGAATAGGAGAACTTATAATTTGTTTGATGAGACCAGGCTTATTAACCTAAAACATAAAAAACCAATCATAAAAACGAAAAATTCCCAACACGTGTTTATTTATTGACATTTTCGTAATTTTATTACATGTCAATATAATTAGTTATCTTATTGGATTATTATTTAGTTATATATTTAGGTATCAGATAGCGCTATCTGATATGAATATTATAGCTTTTTATCTCATTGCTTATATACGTGATAAGTTCTTAATGTATACATATAAAACGTGTCATTAATTTCAATGCACGCAATAATAAATCTAAGTAAGTTATTCAATACTTTATTATGACGGGCATAAGTTTTACTTACGTTTGCATCGTCACTAGGTACCTCTGGAGTATACATTAAAGCCTGTATTGACTTTTCGCTTATAGATGTTTTATTTACTCTAGCCACATTTTCCAATACTCTTCTTGCTTCCTCATTCTTTTGTTTCGAAAGTAACCAGCGGATGCTCTCAGATAATAACCAGTAATAAGAGATAATCAAGAAGCAAGGGATGTGAAGGGCCATGATCATGTATCTCCAAGGCTGCACTAGCCAAGCTACACCACCCAGTATAACTTGGCCTACAGAAAACATTGAAGACGAGAAAGCACTAGTCACCACCCGGTACTTAGGTCCAACCAATTCAGCGGCTGCAAAAAAAAGCTATTAGGAATTTCACGACAAAAGAAAACAATTATCAAAACGGTAGAAAGTCTTACCAAAAATGTACGCGGAACTGAAAGTACCAGCGCCTAGAGTTGTTTGTAGAATTTGCAAGGCCATGTACATTGGATAATTTACAGAAAACGCTCGTATAAGACCAATAAGAGCGAGATTAAATACACTGATTACGAGAGCAAATCTTCGTCCAAAACGATCAGAGAAGAAACCTGTTATCGGTAAAACCAGAAGTGTTCCTATACTGTTCAATGTACCAGAAAATGCTCGCAAAAAGTCTTGACATCCGAGATCAAACTGAAATTCACAATACAATATTTATTAAAACAAAATATATTAACGATTCAATAAAATACGAATAGAGGATAGATAGTTTATCCAATAAATTAATATTTACGACTAGACTAGCCCACGGGATTACGGGCATGTACTTAACAAAATACAAATATGTCTCATTTCTTACCTCATACACTACTGAGTTATCTCTGGCGTATACAAAGCCATCGCAGCCTATAGTTTCTGCTGTATTGAAAAGATTCGCTGGGCAGTAGTCTAATGAGCCATTGATGCCGATGTTAGCTGGTGCATATCTATCACAGCTTGAATATCCAGAATTAGTTTCTGGAATTGCGTTTCCAATCCAATCAGGTTCAACATCGTAAAGTTTACCATCTTCACCACATTCCGGTATGCGACATCTGTTCAAATAATAAATAATGAACGATATTTCCCTTACTTTTATTACAGTATTGTATTAACCTCTAGAAGGTGGTAATTTGACTCGTGTAGAAGTCGTTTTTATGCAAATTTTTCATTATTTGGTTCAATGATTCGATAACATGTTTATTTAAATGCATGAAATATATATACATTCACAATAAAACGGTTCGCATTAAGTTTTATTTTGTTCTTTTTTATCGTGTGCAAACCTTTTATACATCGGTATATTATTGTCAGTCTCACCTGTGTGGTATAGCGGCAGCAGAAAAGATGTATTCGCTCATAAATGCTGACATAGCTATAGGTATGGCTACCAGGAGAATATTCCTCAATTGGAAGCACCCGAACTGACCGAGCTCGTTTGTCAATATATCGTCAAGGTCCAACCTTTTCTCCACCTTACTGAATTTCCTCTCCCCAGGATTTTCCATCTTCGGATCAGCCTGAGAATTCACAGTTTCGCTAGCTGGATCCCCAGACATTTTTTGGGCGTTCGATCCTCAGTACAAACGCTACTCGAATGGCATTACCTTAAATAATAGGTATGTCATCGATTAGGAAGAATCTACTTATCAACATTTTAGTTATATTAATTATTAAATAATTTATTGTTGATAATCTGTATTGACGATAACGTAAATTTTTATTATATTTTTTTAAATAACTTAAGTCTAGCCTGTTCATGTTACTTTGTTTACGAAGATATAATCTTTTTGCAATTTCCTTATACAAAAAATGAAGATTTAAATATGTTAGTAAAAAATAAGAGAAGTCCAGTTTATTAATTCCATAGTTTATCTCAAAGAGTTTTCTTATGACTATTATGAAGTATTTTTTCCCATATCATTGCATTTTATCAGAAGTTGAGGGAATTAGCAGTCGCGTGTGCACTTCATTACAGAAAGCCAATATTTTACTTGAACTAATAAATTTCACATTATATCTTTCACCGAGTATATTGTACTGAGATTGCCATATATGTATATTAAACAATAATAATTTTTTTTGTTTAATAGAATAGTATATATGTATAGTTATTACGTATAAATAATCTCTTCTTCAATCTTATCAAGGACTTATAATGAAAATAGATAGCATAAATATTCAGCATAATTAGTTTAAAATGTCGCCAAAATAAGAGACTTTTATTTACTTTAAATATTTATAAACAAATATCTGTTACACACACCACAAATTATCCTGTAGAAACTGAAAAAATGTGAAAAGTACACTAAGAAATGATAAATGAATTATGTACGTATTTTGTTATTACGAGTATAACTCCGACCATAGAACAACTCCGACTGCTATATTTGCAAAGAGCATGTAAATTTGTTTTAATTTTTGTGACACATATGCCAGTGACACATTATTTTATTAAAAAAGTGAAATATTGAAGAATTTTTTTATAGTAATTTTCGCAATGTTTTCTTACGTAAGAATCTTCTCCTAATAATAACGAATACAATAAAAAAAGAATTAGTGAAATCGGTCCAGTCATTTACGTGTATTTCGTGACCAAGGGAAAAAGAGATTCATTTTTTATATATACTAGAAGACCCAGCGAACTTCGTATCGCCCTATAAACAAGAAATATCTGTTACGTTTTTTTATTTATATTTTTGGAGTTTACCTATTAAAGCCATAAATCTGCCTGTTTTGAAGTGCGACAGAATGATTGACATATTAGTTAGTTGTCAAATCTAATGTCAAAAAAAAAGTTTGTTTCAACAACTACTAATAAATTAAAAATTAATTAAAAAAACATTGTCCAGCGGACAAAATTGTGAATCTAAACCATTCCCAGATCCCCTTGAACACACAAAAAAAAATTCATCAAAATCGGTCCAGTCGTTTGAGAGAAGTTCAGTGACATACACACTCACAGAAGAATTATATATATAAAGATATATAGATTATATTTTAAAGAAGTAAGTATTCAGGTTTTTCAATGCCCTCTTTTCAATTTTCTGTTTCTCCTTCCACCACACAGAAACCACACAGAAAGATCAAAAATCAAAGTACGGTCATTCAGAACGGTATGTGAAAAAATTAAGAAATCGTTGGCGGTAGATGACACATAACAAGACGTTAGTCTTGACAGATACTTTCTAGTAGGAGAGCTGGCAACAATTTTTGGGTAGGTATTTGAGGCAAGCTGAAAACTTGTCCTATACCTCTCCTATTATACCCCAATACGAAACTGCAGACCTGGCTGGTGAGTAGCGGGGCTAACTCAAACCCTAAATTTTTAAAAATATTATTTTTTAATTTCGAAAAATGTATTTGAGGCAATATGCAATTTTTATATGTTGTAGTTTAATATTTAAAGAATAAAAAAAAATATAAGCCAGATGATTTAGTCGGAATTTTAAAATTGCCAGACGCGCGCAAAAACATTTTGAAAAAAAATACAAAAAATGTATTTGAGGCAACTTGAAATTTTAACAGGATATTATTTATTATTAAAAAATAAGATCCTCAAAAAGACAGGTCATTTCTGTGGGTCTCGTTACTTTCTTTATTTAATACGTTAGCCATTATTAATTTTCACGTGAAAAAAATATTCAATGTATAAATTTTAAATGATATATGCTAAAAAAATATGACACAATAAATATATCCATTTAACACACATAAATCAACACAATCATTTTTATATAAACCGTTTTTAGCAGAAATTCATAAAATTTTATATTTTTTACTCCAAAATTCCGATTGAAAACCTCGTGGCTATTATATGTCACGTGACCTCGTCAGAGCCAATAGTAACGCGGCAAGCAAGGACGCAGACAGCTGCCGATATACGCTCTCCCTCACGCTACAGCTTGTCTATAGCGCTACGCACTCACACTTATATATAAGTTGTTGGATCACCTGGCAGGTAGAAAGACCCACAGAAATGACCTGTCTTTTTGAGGATCTTATTTTTTAATAATAAATAATATCCTGTTAAAATTTCAAGTTGCCTCAAATACATTTTTTGTATTTTTTTTCAAAATGTTTTTGCACGCGTCTGGCAATTTTAAAATCCCGACTAAATCATCTGGCTTATATTTTTTTTTATTCTTTAAATATTAAACTACAACATATAAAAATTGCATATTGCCTCAAATACATTTTTCGAAATTAAAAAATAATATTTTTAAAAATTTAGGGGTTGAGTTAGCCCCGCTACTCACCAGCCAGGTCTGCAGTTTCGTATTGGGGTATAATAGGAGAGGTATAGGACAAGTTTTCAGCTTGCCTCAAATACCTACCCAAAAATTGTTGCCAGCTCTCGGACTATTCATCTCGTCTGTCAGGAGTACACTCGCAAAATCCTAAATATCATTATATTTCTTCATTAGTACTGTTTTAAAAATATATGGAACTTTAATTACTAATTATCCATTGAATATATAAAATTTTACATCATTGATTATATCATATTTTAGGATAATGTAAGACAAAAACCACAAAATATATTAAAAATTGAAGAAAATATAATTTAAAGAGTATATTTAAACTAAATAAAATTAATAATCCAATTTGTAAATGAAGTATGGTATAAAACAATATAATCATTTGATTTACTGTAAGAAAATGGAGTATAAGAGACCAAACATGCTGTGCGACAATCACAAAAGAATGGCAATGAAGGTTAAAAGGATTATTATTAATGCTATTGAATGAACATCTTGATAAAAATGTTAACTGATTATTTTACTTGATTTTGTTACGTCAGTGCTCACGAACGTGCGTAGATACTAGATATGTTATCCAAATCATCAAGCTTATAACGTCTAGACAGTAAGACGTAATTATAATAGCTACAACTGCATTTGATTAAATATTTTTGAATTTATCGTGTTTTCATTTTCTTTGTTTATCACGTGTTGATATAGTCCTAGAAGTAGTTTACTCAGTAAACTTGTCTCGTAGAAATATTTGATCAGATTAAAGTTTAAAATATATATAAAAAACTTTACATAAGAGAACAGGATTAGAATAATATCACAGCATTATAACTTATTGGATTTCATATATATGATTACTTGATTATTTTCTCATAACTTTTGGACCATAATGTAAAGAATGTCGTGTAAATGTTACTTTGACAGTGCCTTTTGTGTCTGAGGAAAAGATTTTCTTCTAAAACAACAGTTAAAAATAAAAGGTTTCTATAAGGATTGAAGTACCAAAAGTTTATTCTGTTTAAACAATAATTAGAGAAATAAAAATCTTCTGAAAACATTTATGTTGAGACTATGCTAAAGTATAGCTTTTTATGTAACTATTTTGAAAAGATTATTCAATTATTATTATTCTAGCATTGCTGAGGTGAGTTTGACAAATAAATTATTATAAACATAAAACTTTAATTCTAAAAAGAATTATAATCATATTGATCATTCATCAACGTCATAGATACCGATTTCGGTTCCATAATGCACGTCTGATTAATTAAATGTCCTGCTTTAAGTAATATTTTGATTATTGCCAAGAGATTCAGCTTCCTCCAGGGTATCTGGTAACTTTGTGCCAAGTGTTTCTGGTTGTGTCAACACCAATATTCCTGACAGGATACCCATGATGCTGAACATTAGGGATGGTATTCCGTGCCAGTAATTCATCTATAGATGTAAAAAATGTTGATTAAATACAGTGATAAGAAGGTATTTATCTAATACTAGTTTTTGCCCGCGACTTCGTCCGCGTTAATTTCGTCATTAGTAATATATGTATAGCTGACCGGGCGAACTCTATCCCGTCTTAAATAACCAGGTATTGGTATTTATTCAAATTTTCCTGTTTCAAGCGAACAGAATGATTGACATTTTAGTTAGTTGTCAAATCTAATGTCAAAAAAAACGTTTGTATGGGAAATATAAAAGGTCTGTTTTTATGGTTTTCCCAGTAATGAATCAATTTTTTTCAGATTTTATACCTTCCCTGAACCTCCACGAACATTTCAAGACTAAGATAAGATAAATCCGTTCAGCTGTTCTCGAGTTTTAGCGAGACTAAGGAACAGCAATCCATTTTTATATATATAGAAGATTTTTAGCTATGTAATTGAGTAGGGTGTTATAACTTACAAGTACAGGTGTGAGTGGAGCGGTGATTGATCCGATGCGACCAATCATTGATGAAAATGCAAGCAAACTATGACGATATTCAGTTGGATAGAGTTCTGATGTGTATAGATACAGTGCTGTCATGGATGTTGATATACTAAACTTCCCGAGCAAATAGAATATCAGGCGAAGAACATAAAGATCTACAAAAAATAATATAACAAAATTATTTAAAGACATTCTTCAAGAACAAGGGAACAATTTGTTACAAAATTTGTACTTACTAGGCGATATCAAAATAAATGCTAGGTTACAAACAGCGCCGAAGAAAAAACATGTCGACAGTGTAGCTCTTCTTCCGATTCTGTTTAAAACAACAGTTGCTGTAAAGAAGCCTGGTATTTCTATAGCGCATGTCAATATGTAGTTTGAATATTTGGATTCTGAGAGGCTCGTAGAATTTATCGACAGTCCGTAATAAACAAAACAGGCGGTTATCCACCAAATAGGAGTAGTACATATTCTTCTGAGTAAAATTTTTGAATGTAATATTGAAGTGATGAGTCCTTTCTGTAAAAAAAATATGATAGGAGAGAAAGTTCATTTTAAACTGATAGACTCAAACAAATATGGAAAGCCATGTAACTCACTTTTGAAGATGTAGTCACTATTTTTGTAGGAGGATTCATAAGTGCTTCCATAGATTTATTGCTAATTTGTGTTTTATTAATTCTAGCTACAGTTTCTAGAATTTTTTTAGCTTTTTCAAATTGTCTTTTTGAAAGCAGCCATCGAACGCTTTCAGATAGTAGCCAGAAGTATGTTACAATAAAAAAACATGGAATATGAAGGGCGATGAGCATAGCTCGCCATGATGGTGTCAACCAGGCGACGCTTGCCATTACGATCTGTCCTGTTGCAAACATGGAAGATAACGTGGCTATTCCCACAACACGATACTTTGGTCCAATAAGTTCAGCAGCTGGAAATATACCAAACAATCATTGAGTAAAATGATGATAAAAGCATCTCAAATAAAGTGATGTTCATTACCGAGTATGTATCCCGCGCTCACAGTACCAGATCCTAGAGTAGTCTGAACTATTTGCAATATCAGATACATGGTATAATTGACAGAGAATGCTCTTAATAGACCAAATAAGCCTAAATTAAAAATATTCAGTATAAGCACCAATCTACGTCCAAAACGATCTGATATGTAGCCAGTGATTGGCAACACTAATAATGTGCCAATGCTGTTTAATGTTCCCGCCAAAGCTCTTAACCAGTCTTGGCATCCAAGATCGAACTGAGGAAATAAGTTAGAAAAAATTATCCATAGATGTCTTTTGTTAAACGACTATTTTATCTATTTTTTGAGTTCATTGACCCTCACTAAATGTTTTCATATTTTGAATGTGATACATGTAATTTTACTCACTTCATATACGACAGAATTTGTTGATTCATACACATAGCCCGCGTCACAAGGAATAATATGATTGTTATCAAATAGTGTTGGAAGACATGTGTCTTTTTCTCCGAAGTCTCCAGGAATTTCGATACTTTTAGGAGCATATCTTTCACAACTAGACAGCCCTGTTAATGAAGGAGGCACCGTATTATTGAGCCAAATAGGATTGATCTGATGTGTTTCATTAGTATCCCCACATTCTGGTATACGACATCTGTAAAAATAGAATATACATATATTTTAAATGATGATACATATCGAATAGTCTATAAAGACATACTTTTAAACTAAAAAATCTTTTTTATGTAACTGTTATACTTCGGAATATAGATCTAATCTATGTTAGGTAGAGAGAAGAGCTTGGGCAGTGGAGGTGAACGTTTAACGCGTTATATAGGAGCCCCTTAAAACTACATCTGGGTCGCAAGTCCCAGGCACTGTTGAAGCTCCTCTCCCTGCAACGCGATGGACCCGGCACACTCACGTTGAATACATGGAATGCTGATAATTTCGTCTCTATTATGTTTATTATTTCATTAACTATATATAAATTTGTATTACTTGTGATTTACGGCCATAGTTTATGTAACTGCTATACTTCGGAAATGAGTTCTAATGTACATACGTCAAGTTTATTATATAATCAACTAAATACTAACGTGTTACCTGTGTTTTACGGCCATAGCTGAGAAGACATATTCATTAATGAATGCCGACATCATCAGCGGTATAGCTAGAAGGAGTAAGTTTCTGAGCTGAAACCATCCAAACTGGCCTAACTCGTTTATTAAGACATCATCAAGATCCAATGGTTTCTCTTGAGATTTGTTTTCGTTGACACACTTATCGTTATCCATTTTAGTAGTATATATATAGTCTTTAATTTCTATATTTTATTATAATATATGTAATTTAACAGTTAGCATTCTTAATAATTCCACTGTGTAGAATTTAACTGAAAAGATTAACAGTTAAGTTAAATAACAGGAAACAATTATTTAATAATATACAATAATGTTGCTCATTATATTTGAAAAAATTACTAGTCGTAATAATTGATTTAAATTATATCGTAACTATACTATACTATATATTACGAGTTTCGAACGAATATTCTAAAAAAATAGTTCTATCGAATTATTTTGGTAATTAAACATAATTTAACAACCTACCTTTTTAACTTTTTCACTCACTACACAAGTATATCTCAGAATTCGTATGTAATTATCATACTGAGACATTAAAATATGTTGATTATAATAATGATGAAGTTTTTTTATTAAAGACACTTCTTTATCTGTTAATGTCACATTTTAGTTGACCCTTCACCGACTTGTGTTGCGGACCGCGGTTCTGATATAAAGTTCGTCTAATAATGTTGATAGGAAGGTCATATCTGATTGGTCGGTCCCCACTCTTGACTTATTATAAAAACAGCATTTATATTTACACTAACATAGAATTCTTTTATCAGACCATGAAATTCTTTCTAAATTACTCGATAATCCATATTTATTTTTCTTTTCTACTTTTAATTAGAATAGTAAATATATTTTTATGTCGTTTAAAAGCGTTTCGCTTGATAAATTTAGAATTCTGTCCCTTACCACTGGTATGAAACTAGTCACAGAAAAAATCGTGTTTATACTTTTTCACTATCATATGTGATTTATGGATGGAAAAATTTAAACCGTCTTTATTGAGCTCAGCCGTGAAAACTTGTGGTAATGTTTTGCAAGTATATTTGCAATGTTAATTCTAATGGTTAATTATATTTGCGATCTAGCTTTAAGAATGTAATGAAATAAATAGAATAAGAGATAAGATAAATTGAAGGCATAAAACTTTCCTTAAATAAAACATTATTTATATATGTAAGTACAATGAAATAATTTGATTTAAATAATATTAAATTAAATAAAATCTATAGGTTATTATTCTTATTTTTAATTATTAATAATTGCTATGTATAAAATAACGGATGTACAAATAACTTCTAAATTAATAAAACTGCATATAAGAAAGTAAATATAAAAGTAGAAATGAATTAAATTTAAATCGATTTAATTGTTATGGAAATACGTTTTTATAGAGTAAAAAAACTATGATTTTCGGACTTTGAACGCGATGTAAAGTAATATATATTTTTTTGCTGTATTTTTGGAAAAGCCTAATAAAATGTATCATAAAGCGTAGTAATTTCTAGCTTTTGTTTATTTCGATGGACAGTCGTGAAATTTTGTAGTATCATTATCATCAGCCTATCAGAGCATTGCTCAGCATTTCTCTTCTCACATAGAGAAGATTTGGGCATTAATCACCAGTAAGTAAGTGTACAATATTATTATTAATATAATGAAATCTAAGATTTTCGCGAGTTTTCATTTAAATGAAACTAATACTTTTCTGATGTACTATACGATTTTTATTTTTGATCATAACTAAATACTCTCGTCTTAATGATCACGGTTACTGTAAAGTAGAAACATCGGGCGTATGTATTCGTAGTTTATAGTCAAAAATAAAAATTCGCGTAGTAAATGCGAAAATATTAGTTTCATTTAATATATTTGTTCTTATTTATGAACATTGTAACCATTCCAATCAATTAATTTATTCCTTTACCGTCTCTTGTTCATTGTTCTGACAGCGATGAGTTCATTACACCAATGTCTACATCCAACGTCGTTTGATTAACATTGAATGATTTATTTGTTTCTTAATTACAATATTTAAATTTTCATATACGAGTACAACGAAATATTTTTATATGTAAAGATACACGTGTAAAGTGAATCTGATTTCTGAATTATTCATTTGTTTTATAAAAATAGCAATATGTTTGTTTCTGTACTAAAGAGATAATATATGTAGAATATATAGTTATGCGTCAAAGAATTGTGTTTTCCTAGCATTTATATGACATTTTTTAAAAACAATTATGTTATAAAAGGAAACATACATACTTGAAGACCAGTTATATCAATTTGTTTGAGTGTTGTCACGTTCGGATTTAACAAGCCATAGGAATCTTTAAGCTATGATTACCTACTTGTATTTTTAAGGAAAATTACATATTTCTACTTTGTTTGTCACTTATAATTTTTGTTTCTTAATTTATCATTTTTGATATTTACTATCATAATATATAGTATGTATATGCTATTAGAATGTAACTGGAACACAAACGAACTAAAATATAATTGAGTCGTTTTTCAGTTATTAATTTAGTATTTTTTGTGCACAACTAATGATTTTCTATAAAAATATTTTCTCATAAATCCCTGATGTATTAAATACACTGTAATTTTTTATTGCTTTGTACTCAGTAAAAATTGATTTTTATAATTGAAGAACGTTCATGACTTAAATAAAGGTTTGAGATATTGCTAGACTATAACACCTAAATTACTATACCAAAAAGGGTGTCATTATAAATATTTTAAGTTTATTTCGCCCAACTGACTGCGAAATAATCACCGTACTGTCACATCAAAACTCTTATAAAAATGCAATGTTTTAAAACATAATATTTTATTATTAAATATTATATTAGAATTAGGCTCGGAATGATATGTATTGATGTTAAAACAATAGATATGGTTACTGGTAGCGACATCTATAGTCTCGTTATGGTACTTCATACATAATGGAACTTTTATGCGTGACCTCAAAGGAACTGTATGAAATTGTGGGATAAATTATTGCCTGTCTTAATCTGACATCTGTTCTAAATTGCTGTAAAGTTTAATCAAAATCAGTTTACAAGTTTATATGTAAAACAGTACCAAATATATCCTTTAAAACTTTTGTATTTATAATACTAGTAGGATACAATTGAGTACTATAAATTATTGTCAAAGAGCAAAAACATCAGTTCAACAATAAGGTTGAAAAACGCGTATTTTCACAACCACAAAATTGCACACTTTATTCGTACCTACAAATAATTTCATTTAAAAAAGAAAATTTCAGAATAATACCTTTTCTAACATTCACATTCTTCATGTCACTACGTCTTTAAAAGTATGGTCACGCAGTTATGCAAACATCCATAGTACATAATTATTTATTTATACTAACCACAGCACTAATTTAATACATACATATATAGATTTTATAAAATATATTAATCTGATTGGATTGTATTTAGGTGCTGCTTATGAACAGATGCTAGAGCCTAGCTGTGGTCAGTTACTACAGCTCAAACATGAGCTGGCTCGACCGGGGAAGTATCACCCTCTCACAGAAGATCGGCGTGAAGTAACCTTTAATGCCTGCATTCGTCTGATAGATGACAGAAAAGGTTGTAATCTGCCTTTTCCATAATGAAGGTCTAACCAATAGATGTCCATGGGTTCACTCATCAAATAGGCCGACTCCTCGTTCGCCACCTTTGAATTAAAAAAGGAAGTATATAGTCATATCACAAAAATAGTCTTTTATTTCTTTCATCATAATTTTTTTCAGTGTCTTCATTTTTAACATCAAATGACTTCAAGTAATTTCATGTAAATTTTTGAATTTACACATTATAACATTAAATAAATAAATCTATATTTATCAGCTCAATTTTATATAATTGTGTATATACAAATAAATTTTAAATACTTTTAGTTACTAAATAGTTTCAACTCATTATGCAACAAGAACACTAAAGAATCATTACCTTGGAGGCAACCGAATGATATTAATCAATTACATAAATAATAAATTGTATAATTACAAACCAATTATGTGTTTAAAAGAATATGCGTCTATTAAAAAGACTCAGGTTGATACTATTCTGAAATATGTAGTACATATTTCAAAATAGTGTCAAATGTGTGTCCGACAATATTAGTTTCATTTAAATGAGTACTCGCGAAAATCTTAGATCTCATTATGTAGCACATATACGTAAGTAGTAGTAGCCACTAACAGTTTTCTCGTTAGTTCATATCATTGACTACAAAAGTCGTATTTTGTTCATGAAACCATATCTACCGTGTACAATAGTGTTATGAGAATATCACGTAATGATATAAATTGTACAAGGATTAAAATTCTTAAAGGAAATACACTTTTGAACGTACTTAATTGTAACCGGCGTACCGCTTGTAAGAGATACCTACTCTTAATCTAACATCATCTAATTAATTTACCATTTATTTTATTCATGGCTTTTAGCGATTCGGTTTACTTGACCATGGTAGCTGCCAGCTGGAAAAAATGACTGACAGTTTTTCGTTTCGTAAAAAATAGCAGGAGTCTCATATATTTTTGCAACTCAAAGCTTTTGCCTTTTATTTATTTCAGGAGTTGTTCAAATTAAAGTTAAGTTAAACGAAACATACATATGTTAGAAATGATATTTTTATCAAGGAGAGTGTTGATGTAAATCTATATAAAGTAACGTCTAAAATGTTACATACATTAAGCTCTCAGCGTGAAACTTAAACTATAATTAATAATAATATTGTTTGTTGTTAAAAAAAGAATTTGATTACGAATGTAACTAGAAAAATAAAAAAAATGTAGTGTTTAAAAATATTTACAAATATAAATTTTAGGTCCTTCTGATTGGATATAATGGATAATCAATTAATTGGATAATTAATGAATGTATAAATTTCATGTAAAGAAATGGAATTAAGGGATACTTGTGAACAATTTGTCTTCACCTACGTATATATTTGTTTTGAGCTCGTGTTGTGTGAGTCTCCTGCCATAGAGTAACCTTAAGATTTTTATAGGATCATAGCAAAATCCCACAACTCAAATAAAAAATTAAACAAATGTATAAAAAAAAATAACATTTATATCATAGTCTACATGTTATAAGATAGTCTGGAAAATGGTTTCCCAAACTGGCCAGTATTAAAATCACTAGTGTACGATTTTTAACCTTGCCGTGACCTGATAGACCCACGCCTTGCAGTTTTTACATTTAAATAAAAATAACAAATTGTCTCTTCGTAATCGGACTATGTTTCTGATTTCTTTTCACTTCTTTTTCTCTGTCGACTAATCCTTTCCCTGTAACAAAATCTTGCTTTTTTTGCTACTGTCTCGTTTTGAATGCAATCTCCTCTATCTTTTTTATGAAGAGTAAGCATTTAAGTTTCTCATAATACTAATTCATTATTATAACTACAAATAAAAACTAAATTCTAAATTTTGGCCTCTAACATTAAAAAAACATAAACATAAATAATATCTTTTATTGCTCACAGCATCTAAGACAACTTTAATAAAGTTATATCTTCACTTATCTGTCGTATTTTTACAGAATATTGTATGAAAAGAAACCTGTTCCTAATACATATTTATTATATTTAGATGATATGGTGAAATAAAGACGAGAAACCGTTTATCAAGTCACATCTATTAAACATTTCAACAACATACATATAAACAGCAGTGCCTACTTTACCGTCTTCAATAAAACTTCAGTAGATAGATCAGAAAGCAAATACAGATTAAATACATTATTTCTTAATTTTCTGTTAGAATAAACGACAACGAACTTGTAATAAAGTATACCATCATAAAAAACTTAATCGTGTGATGGTAATCATATAATATTATCACTATTTCAACAAATTTTAATAATGGCATCTTCCTTATTACCATTTAATTATTTAAGTGTTGTTTTCAAATAAAATTAGAAACTTTTAAGACTATAGGTGCTTTGGTTATAAAAGTGTCCTTAACATCTCAACAAGTCTCAAAGAATATTAAATATTGTGCTATTTTATTCCTCTTATATTAAAGATAGCGTTTTGAAAATATAACTCGACTTTACTTTTTAATATTAAATGTTGCTTATGGTCTCAAAATAAATATGTAGTGACACTTTCACTCATCTGCCCGTGATCATGATTGCTGCAAAGGAGCCGAAACTTTCGGAGTATATATAATAAAAACGCTTACTAAAAAAAAATATTTTCATTAATCTTGTAGAGTAATATATATCAGTAAAGTTAAACTAAGAGTTTTGTCAGTGTTATTGTCAAGATATTTTTGTTTCTGTACCAAGAGCCTCGGCTTCCGCCAGTGTGTCAGGTAACCGAGTGTTTTGTGTTTCTGGTTGAGTTAAAACCAGCAAACCAGATATCAGACCCATCACCCCAAACATAAGCGAGGGTATGCCATGCCAATACAGTGACTGAAAATAGTATGAATAAAACAGTGAATGAATTTTTCATAATAGGCCATCTTCTTATCTAACGATATATAACTTTTTATCGATTAGAAAACCTTTTAAATATCTGATATAGAAATAAACTATGCAAGATCGTATTTGAGAATAAATCATGAAATTCTTACAAGTACGGGTGTGAGAGGCGCTAGAATAGATCCAAGTCGTCCTATCATAGATGAAAAAGCAAGTAAAGTGTGTCTATATTCCGTTGGATATAATTCTGACGTGTAAAGGTATACAGCCGCGAGGACAGCCGATATACAGAATTTACCCAAGAGATAAATTATAAGTCGCAAGGCAAACATATCTGAAACATAAACATATCTTCATTAACATTAGGTACTAGAAAATCTTTAGAATTTTGTCATAATTTAACAAGTAGATAAAATATCTATTACTTTGGCAGTTCTGTTACCCTAGTTTAGTTATCTTAAAATATTTTGTTTTCAATCAATAACTTACCGCTTGGAACAAAAACAAAAACAATATTGCATACACCGCAGAGAATATACCCAAAGAATAGTGTTTTTTTTCTGCCCCACCAGTTTAAAGCAAAAATCACACAAATTCCACCTGGTAGTTCGATGGAAGTAGTTAAAATATAATTCAGGTACATAGTATCAGACAAACTTGTCGAATTAATAGAGAGTCCATAGTACACGAATGTTGCTGTGATCCACCAGATTGGGGTAGTGCACACTCGTTTGAGTAATATACGAGACCGGATCACCTTTAGAAACACTCCTATATTGTCGTTCTAGAAATAAAAAATATATAAATATAAACTCAAACTCAAACAACTTTATTCAATATAGGAGCATTACACTTTCTTATTGATGGTCACTTGAGACACTACCACCGGTTCGGAAAAGAAAATACCCTGACCTGAGAAGAACCGGCGAAAGAAACTCAGCGGGTTTTTTTTTAAATATATATACCTATATAAATTTGTCTCATATATTATATACACAATTTAATATGAGATGAAATAGCCAGGAGGCGATCGTTTCATTCCCAGAGAAATATATAAGGTATTAATATTAATAAATTGGTTTTTAAATTATAGAAAGATATAAGGTATAAATTGGTTAAAACTTCACTAACCTGAGCAGCAACTGGTTGTGGTGTGTTTAATAGAGCCTGTAAGGACTCTTCACTAATTTTAGTTTTATTTATTCTGGCAATGTTCTCTAAGACTTTTCTGGCTTCTTCAAACTTTTTTTTGGAAATTAACCATCGAACACTCTCTGGTAGTAGCCAATAGTAACTAATCATAAGAAAAGGCGGAATGTAAAGAACAATCAAAAGTATGCGCCACGGTTGAATGACCCACGCTAACAATCCAAGAAGTACGAGTCCTATAGAAAACAAAAGACCTATCACCGTGGTAGCTGATACCCGATAATTAGGTCCTACAACTTCTGCACCTGAAACAGACATAGTTATTCTTTAAAAAAATGCATTGTGTTTTTCTCATTGTAAGCTAAAAACTGATACGCACATATTGTGTCTTAAGTTGGTCAATTTAATATTTTTTTGGTATAAATTTTTATCGTCCTACTTAAATATCTTTTTATGATACTTGAGGATAAAGCACAGTACAGAAGTAGTCACTAAGTTCTTGTCACGTATTCATTAGGGATACTTTCCTTGAAGACACCGGTGTTTTTAAATTTAACGTTTACAGCTGATTTATTCTATTAGGAGCTACAGATATAATATTCTGTATAAGTACATATTTAAATAAAACCTATTGTATTAAAAAACAATACAAGGATAAATATAATACATTTGTTTATATTGAAATTAATATTTACCGTATATATACGCCGAGCTATAAATTCCTCCACCTAGTGTTGTTTGCAGAATCTGAGTAATTAATAGCATTGTATAACTCGTTGAAAAAGCTCGGATTAATCCAAATAGAGCAATATTGAAGGCACTGATCACTAAAGCCAATCTGCGGCCAAACCTATCTGATATGAATCCAGTGAATGGAAGAACCAAGAGGGTACCGACGCTGCCTAGAGTGCCTACCAAAACTCTTAGCCATTCTTGACAACCAAGATTGAACTAAAAATAACATTTAGAAGTATATTAATAAATAGAGAATTTATATGTATATTTTATTTATTTTATTTTTTATTTATTTATTAACACCAATAAGACATACAGTAATATAAGCGAAAAATATATTATTGAACAACTAATCATAAAATCAAAATTTTGTCTTTATTAAAGGTGTTACACACATATCAAGGAAAAATAGACACGTAACATGCAGATAAAATTACATTACATTAATTGTACAAAGAAAAAGTAGAAAAAAAATACTAATAATAATCATCAACATAAACTTTAAAATAATAATAAGTAGTGTATTATAAATAATAAATTTAAAATATTTATAATTTTGTACTTTAATATTATTACCTAATATATAATATAGAAAATTTATTAATTATACATAATATACAGACTCACATCATACACAGCTGAATTATCCCTGGCATATACAAATTCGTCACAACCCACAGTTTCATTATGATCGAATATGTTGGTTGGACAGAAGTCCAAAGAGCCGTTTCCTCGTGGAAGAAACCTTTCGCAGCTTGCAAATCCTGAACCACTTTCTGGTATCGCATTTAAAATCCAATCAGGACTGAAGTTATGTTGTTTATTTTCCTCTCCGCATTCGGGAATACGACATCTTAAAATAAGTGCTAAATGTTACTCTTAAGAGAAAAATATATATAAAAATATATATTTTTATTACCGATGTGGAATTGCAGCAACAGTGAAAATATAATCACTTGGAAATGCTGCAACCAGAAGTGGAAAGCAGACTAGAAGTAGATTTACGATTTGAAACTTTCCAAATTCTCCCAACTCATTTGTTAGCACGTCATCTAGATCTAATGTTCTTTTGGAATTATTTTCTTTTACCATAATGTCTTATGTTTCGCGTAAAAACTGTCCTCGATTGTATAGTTTAATTTCAGCTACTCCACTTTGAACACTGAACGAACTGTAATTGCAATTAAACAAGCTTAGAAATGGCTTATCAACACGAGTGTTATCTAGACTTATTAGGTAGTAAATTACTACCTATACGTATCAAATGACTTTTTTATGTATTTGAACTATTATCTCCTGAGACCAATTAAGATAAGCCAAATGAAATATAAACAAAAGGTAGTTTTTTTGTATAATCTCGGATGGCAAAGATACTAGCAGCTAAAGTCGGAGCCGAATATTAGGGTACAAAAAAATATATAGAGAGATAGAAATCCTAGCAAAACTTTCTTCCGCTGTGTTTACATATTTGTTTTGCATATCAAATATACAGTTATATTCATTTGTTTTATTATATTAATAACAATAATTTCCAAACAAACAATTAGTTTGTACTTCGTTTTTTTTTTGTTTCCAAGAAAATATTAGTTGTGTAATTTTCTTTGATTCTATAAATTCATGAAGTTTTAATAACAATGTTAGTAATGTGTATACAAAATTCGTGTTAATTATAGCTCATCATATTACTAACAGATAGTTATTTTATTATTCATCTTCAGCCTACCATAGCCCACTGCTGAGCAAAGGCCTCTTCCCACATGGAGAAGATATTTTGTTATTGAAGGTTTTAAATACAAGTTATTATATTTTATCATTATTTAATTATATCTGAGAGCATGCAAAAATATCAGTTATGTAAATACTCGTACTAATTCTAGACCAGACTGTTGAATTGGAACATTTAAAATACCTTCAAAATAATGTTTTAAATATCGATAAGATGTACAGCCGTGTCATGGCTAGCAGACCTTCGTATACTTATTCATATGTCACATATCTATAACTAACTTTACTATCATATTTATCAGACTATTAGAGTTTAAAAAATGTATGAGGTTTATCTTATAGTCCAACATCCATTCATCCATTTCCTAGAACAGCACAGTTCAACTTTTTGACTTTCTTCCATTGTACTACCTAAAACTTATGTAACATTCATTATTTAACGTATTCGGACACTCTGTAACCTTAAACTACAATAATATTTATGTCGCCGTATATTAAAGTATTTGAGTTTAACACATTCGACATTCATTATTGGTTTTGATAAAGGTCTATTGAACTGTTACTGTGAGTGTAAAATTTATGTAATATATAAGAACATTTATAAGAAATTTTTGGGTTTTTGAAGTAAAATTTACGATAACAATAAGAAAGGTATAATACATCTTTATATAACGAGGGCTTAGTCAGTGGTGGCCTAGTGGTTAAAAGGCCCACCCCTCATGCACGAGAGCGCGGGTTTGATCCTGGTAAGTACCAATGTGATTTTTCCGAGTGGTACGTACTTTCTAAGAGTATTTAGACATCACTGATTAATGCATTTCCAAAGAGGGTTGATGACAGGCAGGCGACCGGTCGTAAAAAACAAGTAGCCAAAACTATTCACAACATGTAAAGCAGACCCTGGCTAAAGCTGGAAAATTGCCAGGTAGAAGAAGATATAACGAGGGCTACATATGTATGTAAATTACCGTGATTCATGTCAAGATGGGGAATTTTGTTTTATGCCAAAAGATTTCACTATTTCTGAAATAGTTCATTTTTACATAGTAAACTAATACGAAACTTAAAGATCCTAATAATTCCTTATAGATATAAAATTAAATGTTAATAGAAGTAAAATATATAACGCCATTGGCTTTGTATAAATCAATAGTTTTTATTTAACAATGATACTAATTACCCATATATTTAACCGTTTGTGTTCTCTGTGTTTTCCGGTGCATGATGTATGATGCCATTGCATTGTTTTGTAATATATTTCAGAATGTAAAAAATTAGTTGAAAGTAATCTTCTATTATTTAAATGAAACATAACACTTTTTTTATCAGGGTTCCAAAAGGTTTTTTGTTTTTTGAAAAAATAATTATAATATGTTATAATTAAAATACTTAATAATAATTACTAGAATCCTTTAATGAAATTTAGTGATGATTTTTTGGCTCGTACACAATGTTAAAGAAAGTAGTGCATTGCAATGATTGATTGGAAACATAGAAGTAGCAGCACCAAATCAAAAAGTCAAAATATTTATTGATGCTAAGTAAGTTTTCAGAAGAAAAACAGTAATAATTTTAAGGCTAAATTATTTGGAAGAGTCTTTCGGAAAAGTAATGCACTGAAAAGGGAAAAGGAAAAATAGCAGGTCATTTAATTTGCTCGTGAAAATCTAGAAGTATTTGGCAGTTATAAATTTTATAGCAACGCATCTAAAATTAATGTAACATTTTTGGCAAACAACAAATATTCTCTTTCATCATTTTTAATATATAACAATATTAAAAATTAAAAAAAACAGAAAATGTTCCAAAGAATGCTAACAATTTTTACTGCCAATAATCCAAAACTTTATTTTTGTCTAAACGTTTCTGTACTCTATCTTAATCTGCGGTTTATTGATTAAATATTAATATTATTCGAAATTCTTAATCTTGTGATATTATTTTAAAAGAAGGATAATATTTTTGAAATATTTCAGTCATTACTTTTAATATTTACAGACAGATTTCCCACTGACTGACTGACTCAATTTCTTTGCTTTATACAGGCGTTAAGTCATAACATTATTCATTACGAGTGTTATAAATAAAAATGTATTGTTGTTTATTGTTTCGCTAAACATAATAGAGTGGCTATTTAAGTATTAAATTATTTTACAGAAATTTTAAATATTCACTGATCGAAACCAAAAACAACAAAATATTTAATTTTTTATTCGTTATGAAGGCCATGCAATATCGGTGTTAAAAATAAATATTTATATTCAATAAATAAAGTGCAATAATATGTAATAAATGTATTAAAATAGTATATTGTGACGAGATAACGTACATTTTTACCATCGACCTCACAAATAAGGAAGATAAAATTGCAATTTGATAACACGAAATAGCATTTTAAAATATAAAATTCAGTACAATTTATGTAAAAATGTTTATAATATAAATGTATAAATAACGATATTTTATTTTACTATAATCTTAGATAAACGTTACTTGATATATTAGATATTTAAACATAATATTGTAAAGTGTATCGTGACAGAATTCGCAAATTGTAATGATATGAATTATGCGCCATTACTACAGAAGCGATTACTTACACCATTGTATATAACATCACACAAACCATCAAAACGTTCATTACATATACAAAGACTATCATTTGATGTGAGAATTATGTTTTCAATATAATATTTGCATATAAAAAATGACCAAAACTATACAGTATATAAAAATATACTTCATAATTTATTTGACAAATATTTTTGATTGAAAAGTAAAAGTTAATACATCATTATGGACACGAAAGATAGAAATATAGTGAAAGTTTCAATAGAAGATAAATTGACAGAAATAGTGAGTGGATTTGGAAGGTATCAGATATGGCAGAGCATGCTAGCGATCCTGCCGGTCATTTGTACAGCTATGAGCAACACGAATTTTGTATTTGCAGCCGCTTCTGATAATTACAGGTATTATAATAAATTGATATACTAAAAAAGAATACTGTAGAAAAGCTTAGAGACAAATTTTCGATTTAGTTCCTTTCTATTTTTTATTTAAGACTTTCTATTTTTTACTATTCCTTATACCTCTGACTGTAAAAATAAAAAAAAAACTAAGTTAATAATGAAATATGCACAAAAATTTTAAAAAGATTTCCTTAAAGAAAGTTATACGACATATTTCTTGTTAATAAGATGTGCAGTGCCTGAATGTGGTTCATCTAACGTATCCATCATAAGCACCTTATCAAATTTGACAAACGACCGTTGCTACCGGCCACTTTTCCACCACAATAGTTGTTCTCCAGAGGATTTTGACAAAGAGATTTCGTGTAATAAATGGATCTATGAAGACGATAATTCCTTCGTTGCTGAGGTAAGTCAATTAGAATAAATATTGTTATTTCAATATATTTAAAGAAAATAAAAACAAATAATAATATGTATATATACCCGGCACCCGCTCGGATAATCCATGGAATGCTGAGAAGTTTCGTCTCTTAAAATTGTCACTAAATGTTTATAATTTTTAGTTTATTATTTTTACCTATATATCATAATATTACTAACTCATATTTATACCTTTTCAAGAAAAAATCGCTTACCTTATAGCAAGTAATTAAATTTTTGTTTTGTAATTTAAACAAATTATTTAACATTTTTATCTCGCCTTTCCTTGATAATGGTTAATGCAAAGTAACCGAAATATCGGGAGTATTTAGTTAAAATAATAAAAAATGTTTAGTTAATCCGTAAATATTCGATTTATACGCTGTATAATTTCAGTTTGGTCTGGCGTGTCAAGAATGGAAGAGGACATTAGTTGGAACAATTCACAACTTAGGAGTTTTGGTGTCAATGCCTCTTATGGGTTTTGTATCCGACCGGTAAAAGAATAATATTTAATGGTTATTCCTGTGACACAAATTAAATAAATTTATATCCACAAAAGCTTTTAAAATATTACATTTTGTTGGGACTAGCTTCAAGCTAGTTTTGAGTTGTAATAAAATTATATAAAATATAATTTATATAATAAAATTTTGGTAAATTGTTTCAGTTGGGGTCGTCGAACCGCCATTATGATTAGTTCATTAAGTCTTTGTGTTGGTGCTTTTAAGACTCTCGTGACAACCGGCCCCATTGGATACATTCAATACGTGATCATTGAATTCATTGAAGCCCTTCTTGTTACTGGAACTTATACCACTTGTTTCGTGCTAAGTATGAATATTATTTAAAATAAACAAATGTTTCTATATAGTCAGTAGTGGCCTAGTGGTTAAAGGGTCCGCCTCTCGTTGCCGAGGGCGCGGGTTCAAACCTGGCAAACCTTCTCCATGTGAGAAAGAGGGGTTGGCTCAGCAGTGGACTCTGATAGGCTGATGACGTTTCTATCATAACAAAAAAATATTGTTTTTATATATTGTGTTTCAATTACAGTTGTTGAACTTATTGGATCTGACAAACGTATAATCGGTGCCGCTGCCGTCGGCTCTTCTGTGGCTATAGGAGAGTTAATCTTGGATTTCATTGTATGGAATGTTCCCTATTGGAGAAAGTTTTTCCTCATTATCTACTGTCCAGCCCCCATATTCATCATCTACGTCTATATATTAGAAGAAAGTATGCGCTGGTTGCTCACAACAGGCAGGAAAGATAAAGCTCTAATAGTTCTCCAGAAAATTGCGATTTGGAATAAATTCGCTCTAACGTGTAATGTTATAGACGAAGTTAATAAAGAAACATTGGAAATAACACAAGGAACTGCAAACACTACAGAAAAGTTTACTATTAAACTCTTATTTTCGTCACCTATTCTTCTTAAAAGGTAAATATTTCTTCTTAAAAGTTAATTGACATGATTTTTTTCTTTTGTACATAAGATTACACTTAATCTGATTGGGTGTAATCTTCGTAATCTTTAGATTATTGTTTATAAAAATAACAATTGGAGCCAGACCTTTTTAACCTTTAAATATATTATAATTAAAAGTTATAATTCTTTGCATTATTTTTCAGGGTAATTGTTTGCTCTTGGTGGTGGTTCACAGCAGCTTTTGTGTATTACGGTCTGATGATAAATTCCGTATCCCTGCCTGGTAATAAGTATGCTAACTTCGCTTTAACATCATTGGTGACCATTCCTGGAGATATTATTGCTGTGATCACGTTGGATAGAATCGGAAGACGAAAGACATTGCTGGGTGGTTTTCTGTTCTGTGGAGTTTGTTGTGTTGGCATCGGGTTTATACCAACGGGTAAGAGAATGCAATAATGCTAAGATAAAGAATATTAATGGTTTGCAAATTCTATTCTATGACTGCAGCGTAGTTCTATAAGTAAAGAATCTGTTATTTTATATTACAGATCACAAAATTGCTTCAATAGCAATATTTTTGATCGGTAAACTGTCGATATCAGCGTGTTTTAACTCGGTGTACGTGTACACATCAGAGTTAGTACCGACATCAGCTCGAGGGTCTTTAGTTGGTACATGCTCGATGGTAGCTCGAGTGGGCACGGTATTGGCGCCCCTTACTCCTTTGTTGGTAAGATATACAAATACTTGTATGAATATTTTTTATGTATATAAAACAATATTTATTTAATCTTCTGAATAGTCTTGTATTACCAGGGAATAATTTGAAAATATATTTTGAGTAGACATTTCAGGAATAATTCCTAGCTTTTAAAGGATTTGAATTTTTTCAGAGTGACTTTTGGAGGTCATTCCCCACTCTTATATTTGGGCTGACCTCTTTGACCGCTGCTATGTTGACACTAGCCACCCCAGAGACACTTCGAAGACGATTACCAGACACTATCGCTGAAGCAGCCGCTATGTCTTAGATCGTTAGAGTAATATACAAGTTTATTGTATAAGAAATATATAGAAGTATGTATATACATTAGAAGAAAAGTTTGACAAAAAGAATTTGGCAGACCCTGGCTAAAGCTGGGAAATTGCCAGGAAGAAGAAGAAGATACATTAGAAGAAAACTGAATGAGGCTCTTTAATGTCTTTGCTATTGCCCATTGATGGTCCCTATTACCATTTTTACTAAAACAATTATTAGTGTTTGTTGCTTAGCCAAATATGTATGTTTTTACGTTAATTATATTATTTTACGTTAATATTTATCATAATCCACAGATACACACTTATGAAAATCTTTTTCAATACATTTTCTTTACTAATCTTGTACTAAACATAAATATTTTTCATGTTATCACTCATATATACGTATATTATTTTGTCATATAAGATGATTTATGAACAAAATTATGGACATCACTAATTTGACGTTTTATACCAGTGGTATTTTGCGGTAAGGGTACAAACCGCATTGTGTTCTATTGTCTTTTAAGACACACATTGTATCATAAAATTAAATTATCATTAATTTTCTTACTGCTGTGCAACAAAACACTAAATACATCTTGATATTTGTTTTATAAGTATTAAAAAAATATTTAATAAGACTATTTTTAGGATTAGCATTGTACCAATTTCAATTACAGCAATTATTTATGTATCTATCTGACTTTTTCTTCTGACAGTGTTAAATAAACGTTAATTTTTTTACATTATTCATGAACTAGCTTTTGGCCGCTGCTTCGTCGGCGTTGCATTGGATGTATCACATATATAGATATTTTTTTTCCCTCAACTCCTAGTAAAATTGATTCGGCCAAATTGTTAAAAGTGTAAAAGACAATGTTTATCAATATTAAATATTTAGAGCGACAAATAATAATAATATTGATGAGAGATTGATAAATATAGTTGTAAAAGTGTCTCATTAAATTATATTCATCGGCGACTGTGTTGGTCATAGTGGCTTCCACATAAAAGATATATGCTGTGGAAGACTAAAAGTTTAGAACTTTTTAAGAAAAACAATCCTAACACACTATTTTTGTGTTACTAAAATGGTTAAGGCAGCATTTGCTAAGATAATATTTTTTTTTCAAAATTATTTGATATAAATATTGTTATAGTCTGCCCACATCACCCAAAATCGTTATTAACTGTAGTCTATATGTTATTCTGATGTTATAAACCATCATACCATAGTTTCATTCAGATATGTTCAGTAGTTTTTTCGTAAAAGAGGATCAAACATACATTCATACATCCATGCTCACGAACTTTAGCATTTATAATATTAGAGGGAATTGGGGAGATATATTTCCAAATAACATTTTTCGACATGAAAATTATTTATTTTCCATCATATCTTATTATATTATAAAATATATCTACAAATTGAATACAATAAATAAAGGGAAATAAAAATAATATAACTATGAACAAAAATATATTAAATATATTAATACCTCGTTAAAAATAACTTTTCAAGTTTATTTACAAACATTTTGCTGTTACCATACTTTATTTTCCTTTCTTTTACATACTGTCTGAACAAAACACGATCATATAATAATACCTTATTACACAGAGAGGATGAACTACGTAATTTTAAGAATACAATTAACAAGAGGTCCATTTGGCTATACGTATTAAATAGTTATTACATATCCTCATACAAGAATCGACAAAATATATATCACTGTATTTAGATTTGAATAATAAATTAAAAGCAATTGATCTCTTAAAATTTAAGTAGTTCATTCTAACAAAGTGAAAAACAAGCAAAATGTATTGACCTAAGTAAATTGTAAATGTAAAAAAAGTAAATGGCACTATTTTATTCACATTTCTGTTTGATATTAGGAGTTTCAGTGAATTGAATATCACTTTGAAGTTGCGTGTTGTTTGCGAATAATTATTTTGTTCAATACCCTAACAAAATGTTCATAATAATTTAAAATTAAAATCAAATCCATTCACAGAAGCCTCTTTAACTTCTTTAAACGTTGAAGTCTGTTAAAATAATAATGACGCAATAAGTCCTAGATTAAAACAACAAATACTAGTTTGTTTTTAAAAAAATACAGTCACAAGTCTCAATTATTATTCGTATTGTATATGTATTGGTAATACAGAAGAAATGTTGTGTTACCAAAATATTTCTTTGACAAAATGTCTACTATTTTGTTGTAACAAAATGCTTATTAGATTACTATACTTGGTAGCGTTAATCAACAATTATATCAGTGGCATGTCTTGTTCGTGGTGCTGTCGCTATATTCTCAGCTTGCTTCACTGTGTCTGGTAGTCTTAGGTTCAATGTTTCTGGTGTGAGTAGCATCAAGAGCCCAGCGATGCCCGCCATCGCTCCAAATACCAAGTACGGTAGTGATTCCATGTAGGCCATCTGAAGAAGGAAAAAATATATTTAGAAGAGTTCATTTTTGTTACTATGCTGTTAGTAGATATCAATATTATTTGTGGACTAGTAATTTTAATTCGTAGGTAAAGATCTCAACATGACATTCTAATTAATACGAGAAATATCAAATACTGAACCAATAGAATTTTTACTATATTATTCCTTCTTCTTTGATTTGAAAAAAAATACCTATATAAAATTTAGAAAATACACTAAGAATAGATGCGAATTAAGACTTTTACTAACATCTAAAATTTACATAAAAATGATAATGATAGGAATTTCAAAGACAGAGAAAAATTGTATATGGGATTATTTAAATACAGCTACATTTAGTGATACAAATATCAGTTGTATGAAAACTAATAATGAAACCTTTAAAATCCACGCAGGATTAATAAAATTATATGGTTGTAAATATTTCTAATTAAAATACTATATGAAACTACGAATATCTCTTTAAACGTGGCATTAATACCAACAAGGGCGTCATGGGTGATGTTGTTGAACCAATTCTTCCCAACATGGAACAAACACTCATCATGGAATGACGTGCCGTGGTTGGAAACAGCTCAATGGTATAAATGTAGATAGAAGCAAACACCATGCTTATAGACAGCTTCCCCAACATTGTTAGCGTTATTACGAAAAAATCTGTGCAATTATATATTCTGATGACGTGATTTCATAAAAACTTCCAACAGTTTTTGTCGTTTAGAAATGAAAAAGTAAATTTGTATGTATTTTCATATAAACAAATACATACTTCAATTTACTTATTCACTTATGTTTTCTACAGATAGGTAAACAGTATACATAAACATGAAGAGTAATAGGATATTAGATATAAAATTAAATACAAACCAAGAGTGGCGTTTGTGGAGCCACAATCTGTCCAATTCTTCCACAAACTGAACACAGAGACAGCAAACTCTGTCTTATCATTGTTGGATACAATTCCGATGTATATATATAAATACTGCTAAAAGCCATGCTAATGCACAATTTGCCCAACAAGTTGAGACACGTTTGGACCCATTGCACATCTGAAAATTATACTAATGACTACCTCTATTCTACTTTGTCAAACAACAAAACACACAAGACTAAAACAAACTAAATACTTTTTATATATATGCAACTAAAAAGAGTTATTGAAATATAATTAATAAATGTTAATACTATTATTGTTTAACTATAAATATATTTATCGTTATACTTACGTCCTGGGATGAACGGCAAACATACTAAAGAGATTCCACAAATAAAGAACGCCGTCATAATAGAACTCTTTCTACCGAATCTGTCTAGAGTTAACACACTGATGCAATAGCCGGGGATTTCCACCAGAGCTGTTAAAATATAATTAACATAGCTGTTCCCGGCCAATGACACTGAATTTATTGATAGGCCATAATAAATGAACGTCACAGTTATCCACCAGAAGGAACAGACGCATAATCTAATCATGATCACTCTTGACTTGAGCACCTGTAGCGCGAGAGACGGTTGATCATTAATTTCTCCTAACGATGGTTTCTCTTCCTCCGGTCTAACCGACTCCTCTGTCAATTCCTTAATAGTCTCTGGTGACAGTTTTCTTTTATTGGTAGCGGCCACTTTAAAGATTATTCTTGCAGCCTCCTTCTTCTTTCCCTTGCTCAGAAGCCATCTAACGCTTTCTTCTATTAAAAATATATAAAATATGAAGAGTAAAGAGGGCGCGTATAAAACTCTCGTGAGAGTTCTCCATTCAGGTATGGCCCAGGCTATTAAAGCGACTAAAGCTTGTCCGATCGCAAAAGTGCATGAAATTATGTTTCCTCCAAGAACACGTCGATGAAGACCCATCATTTCTAGAGCTGCAATTAATAAAATTTATATTAATATTTATTTATGTTAATGAACAGAATACTACTCATACATCACAAAATAGTAAATCATTATTTAATTTCGAAAAACGACTCCACTACAATAAAAAGTAGCATTTTCATATTAAGAGCCGAACTTTAATAGTGTTTTAAGGGACACTTAAAATTTTAAGGTATTTTCATTACTGAGTTTTTATTAATAAATACCCATTAACAAAATCTTTTAATTTATTTATTTATTTATTTATATACACTTTATTGTACACCAATATATAATAGGAGTAATAGGAATAACATAAAGAGAAGAAAATGTACAACAGGCGGCCTTATCGCTAAAACAGCGATCTCTTCCAGGCAACCTTTGGTAGAGGAGAGAGATAAGATGGTAGGGGTGTACAAATTATAAATATAGATACAATATATATATATATATATATATACATCCATATATATGTATATATACGATACATAAATAAATATACCATAAATATATACTTATATAATAATATAATATACATACACATTATAAATATATACATTTACATACTATAGATAGTTACATAATATGTCACGAAGCAAGATAGTGCTCTTTTATCATTTTTTTAAAAGAAGTCAAGGTTGGTGCACGTCTTGCTTCGAGTGGAAGAGAGTTCCAAAGACGAATAGAATGGACAGTAAAAGAGTGAGTGTAAAAAGAAGTTGTATGAGGTGGTATTTTTAACATCAAATTCTCTTCAGAACGAAGATTATGACTATGTGAAGAACTAAGAAACTGAAAACGTTCTTTTAGATATGAAGGAGAAGACGGATTGAACAGAATACAGTACAGAAGCTGAAGGATGTGAGTATTCCTGCGAAGCCGGATTGGGAGCCACTTGAGCTTTTTACGAAACTCAGAAACGTGATCATATTTACGAAGACCAAATATGAATCGGATGCAAAGATTTATTATTACTTATCTGTATATCAGTCTATAAATATAATTATAATATCATGTAGTAAACCAATTCCTAATAAGAATTTATAGCAATGTTTAAAATTTGTTATATTTTGTTTCCTATGGCGTAAAAACAACGTGTTTGGTTAATTTAACTATATTAGAAATTTCGTAAGGTTTATTTTGTACTGACCAAGAATAAATCCTGAACTGTATACTCCGGCTCCCACGACAGCATCCAAGAATTCAAGAGCCACATAAGACACGTAGTCTTGAGTGAAGGATCGTCCTAAACCCACAACAGCAGGAGCCACTGCTGTCGCGATAAAAGCTATACGACGTCCGAAACTGTAATAAAAATACGTGTCGTGTTAGTTACACTATTTAGAATTTAAGAACGACTGTACGGGTTTATCTGAAAATTGGTGGAGAGATAACTTAGAAACAGGGAAAGGACATAGAACACTGTTCATCCGATTGAAAATGAAACGGAAAAAAATATAAATTGATCAAATGCAAAATTTTCTAATTTACTGAATTTAAGGAAGAACAAAGTGCACCCGGTCAGCTAAACATTATTAACTCTGAACCTAACGCAAGTAAAGGCGCTTGCAAAACCTAATCTATACTAATATTATAAAGCTGAAGAGTTTGTTTGTTTGTTTGAAAGCGTTAATCTCCGAAACTACTGGTTTGAATTGAATAATTCTTTTTGTGTTGGACAGTCCAGTTACCGAGAAAGGCTGTAGGCTATATAACATCACGCTACGACTAATAAGAGCAAAGATATAGGGGTAAATGTGTAAAAAACGGGAGAAATTATTTCATCTTTGAAGCCTTCCGTTGCGTGCGCCGTGAAAACGGTTAAAGATACACAAAAAATATGTATTAAAGAATAATAGCTCTTTTAATGATCTAAAAAACAGTCTGCAACAGTATATGTCTATCTTTTAAGATTAACTCACAAAAACCGTTTTTATGGTACCTAATTTTGTCGAAATAATTTGTTTGAGTTGTATCAACATAATAATATTTTAATCTTTATTCAAATAAACAAATAAATGTGTTGTTAGTTAAGAGTACTTCATTGTGAATAAAAAAAACATAGGTTTTATCCTGAAAATTCTACGGGAACTCGACAATTCCGAAAACCCCGCAAGAACGGGAACTATGTGGGAAGAATCAAAAATTAGCCGGAAGTCACTATTCCACGCGGACGTAGTCGCGGCAAAAGCTAGTTTTATATAAACGATTGGAAATTACAAAAGTTGGTATTATTAATCCACTTTATAGTCATTTTTTCAATAATTTCGATATATTCAAACAAAAATTTTGGTTTGATAAAGTTTAGGTATTTTGTCCGAATAGCCTTGAGAATTTTCTGTTATATATGTACATAAATAAGATAAAATAAGTACATGAAAATGTATAAGGAAGTTATATGTTTAATTAGTTTGTAGATCTACAATTGTGATTACAATGTACAGGTATTCATTAAATAAGTGTTGTTTATTTTATACTAAGTATATATCATAAAATTAATGAAGTGCTCTTTAATCCTCGCAATAATTATAGTCACTGCTCCTTATAAACACAATACTCTTGTTTAATTTATTATTTACCTTATTAGACAATGGCGTCAATTAAAGTATTTAATATTTATAATTCGTGATAATATTTAAAGATATTTAATATGCAGATTTGTATGAAGGATTTTTATGGTATAAAAAATTGAAAGAAACTTTTGTATAGCAGTTATTAGATATAATTTTGCAGGTCATACTCACTTGTCTGATACAAAAGCGGTGAGGGGAAGGGCTATGAACAATCCGGCACTGTGAACAGTACCCACAAGGGTTCGCTTCCATTCCTGGCAGGCAAGATCAAACTGGAAAGAGATAAGAATAGGTTATTTAATATAAATATGGAACATTTCAATAATAACTATAGGCGAAACCTGTTTTAAAAAGGACGAAAAAACCTAATTTTGTTAAAGATGGATGTAAACCTTATTTTCAAAGTTTTTATGCAATATTATATGTACATGTATATTATCTACTTTTCGTTACATACTTTACATAAAATAAATTAGTTTTACTACGCAATGACTGAAACGAGCAAGGAAAATATTGTGAACACCATCGTTTTAAATATTATTTTAATAACTTTGAACATAGCTGATGCTGTTTTGTGTATTTATTTTAATCTCGTAATATCAATAATTTCTTATAATCTTACCGTCGAGACAATACTATCATGATTTTCATAGATCCAGCTAGAGCATCTCTTTGTCTCCGTGGGGTGGAATGATCCTGCGGCGCATGTGTTTCCTATAGGTAGGAATCTCTCGCATCGCTCTTTACCATCAGGAAGGGCCCACGCCCCCCAATGCTTCGTGTCGAAAATAGGAGGATCAGACTCACATTCTGGGACCCGACACCTGAAATTTTACATTAACTTATGTAAAATATTTCAATACATACATCATTCATCATCAGCCTATCAGAGCCCACTGCTGAGCAAAGGCCTCTTCTCACATGGAGAAAGTTTGAGCATTAATCACCACGCTTGCTCAAGACGGGTTGGTAATTTCAAACTTATAATTTGAAATTATAAGTCCAGGTTTCCTCACTATGTTTTCTTTCACCGTCTGTCAGTGTTGTCTAAATACTCTCAGAAAGTACATGACTCGGAAAAATCACATTGGTACGAGTCAGGTTTCGAACCTGCGCCCTAATGCAAAAGAGGCGGGCCCTTTAATCTTTAGACCACCACGACTACAAACATTATTATTTATAGAATATTAAGAGAGCTATACATTAATCAATTTTGCATTTATGTAAATAGCTATTTATAAATATTTCAATCACATCTTCCGACGCTTATCTCATTCTTCCATCCTGCCTTTTATATTTGTGTATTGTCCAATTATTCTCAAAGTAGACCAATATGTCAGATGCTATTTCGTAAGCAAAAATGACAAGTCTAAATTTTAATACTAAAAGTATTATGAGGAGCAATAGTTAGATAATATCTGTATTAATTGATGAAGATATATTAATATTCTAGATATTCTTATGTTATTTTAAATTAGGATATAAAAAGAATATGGAAATATCATTCCCAGCTTAGTAAAGATTAAGATTTCAAAAAATCTCAAAAAATCAGTCTTGTAAAAATGTGAGACGTATTGAAATTAAAAAATATTTTGCTTAGTTAATAATAATAAAAAAACTATTATTGTCAATTTAAAACCACATGATCAAATACATATGTGGGTGATTTTATTTCATTTTTATTATTCTAACTGTTAACTCTTCCGAATTTAAAGCAATGTGTAAACATAATAAAACCTAACTAGATCGCAGTCTTGAAAACCATTTAATTTATTATATTTATCTAGCAATAAAATAAAGTAACGTAATTCTTCCATTTCAGTCTCAAGGAAATACTATAAGAACAATAGTTCATAAAAATATAATAACAAATAATAAATTCATGTCAGATGTTTTCCTTTAGTTTGTTTTTATCTTAATATATATTTATCGAGTATTAGAGGATACATTTTATTTAAAATTTTTATATATAGTGTCGTTCTTTGTTATTTTTGTCTTATGTATTAATGTGGGTCAAGTATGGTCGTGTTTCCTGCGGCGACGCGTGTCGGTGTACACTAAATAGCACAAGGCGTCTTCCTTTTTAAGGAAATTATTCGTTTTAATCTAAACGTGTCCTTTTATGACAACCGGTTCATAGGTAGTACACAACTACCAAGCTAATTTCAATAATTTCCATCTTACATATATACATATAATATTAAACTTCTTCTACTTCTACCACGAAATTTCCCAGCTTTAGCCCGGGTCTGCCTTACAAGTTGTGAATAGTTTTGGCTAATAATTTTTACGACCGGCCGCCTGCCTGACATCAACCCTCTTTGGAAATACATTAATCAGTGAGGTCTAAATACTCTTAGAAAGTACATATGACTCGAAAAAATCACATTGGAACTTGGCCAGGATCGAACCCGCGAGTAATATTAAACCTGGACTTAGAATTTATAATTATAAGTTTGAAATCGCCAATCCGTCTTGAGCAAGCGTGGTGATTAATTCTCAAACCTTCTCCATGTGAGAAGAGACCTTTGCTCAGCAGTGGGCTCTGATAGGCTGATGATGATATATATATAATCAAACTGAATCATCACTCATCAGTAATCTTCGGTAGTGTTGTCTGAATGACACGATATTTGGTAGTAATCACGAGATAATAGTGTGTGAACCAACATGTTCTGTATACAAAGATAGCTTATATTGTACATGTAGCAATATGTAATAGGCAATATTTCGGTAAACCAAAGGATTATGTAGGCTTAGTTATTATTGATGCTATGAATATTTAGTAAAGACTACCGCAAATATTTCCGTTATAAACAAATACACACGTATTTTTCATATCAGAGTTTCTGTTTTCATATAGAAAAATATAATTATTTAGTTATTTGATAATTTAAAATGTATACAAAACCTTCAAAAACTTATACACAAAGATTTCGATAGAATAATAAAAGCTTAGTTATTAAGGGCACACGTTTCGAACAAACCTAATTAAAATTTAATAATAGTTCTGAAACGCAATTTATTTTATCAAATTAGATTAATTAAATAAAAAAATTCATGGCATTTTCCTAGGAATGATAACAGATATCAGTATGGCATTTACTTTGGCATTAACCTGTCAAGAAGTTATATTATCAAAAAATCATTTCAGATATAGGCATTCAACTTATTTGATATCACTTATCAAGGTTGACTTCGAGTTTTTATCAATAAAAGGAAAATTATTGCTGGTCAGTACAGCGAGTCACAGACATGTAATATGTATTCAGAGATGAGTTTATTTTGATAAAAGTCCTTATCGTACAACATTGTTGTGTGCTAAGGTTGTTTACGCTTACATCTCGTCTGTCCGTGATCACGGTTTCTATAAAGGAACCGACACGTCGGGATTATGTAGATATAAAATAATAATAAACACGTAGTATCAAAAAATCTAGTTTCATTTAAAGATTGTTAATTATTGTTTCTATTGAAGTGAGGAGAAATTTTTTAAATTCCATGTTTATTATTATTTTTTTACATCTCACAAATTGCTAATCAATTTTTCTCTTAATAAAAGTAAACAAATTTTACATTCATGAATCCCAGAGGAAGCTGTTATATATAATAATTTAGTATTACATACATTTTTAATCTAATTATATCTCCTAACAATTTGGTTACAAATTTTTAATAACAGTAAAATATTGATGATATATGATCAATTTAAATAAATAAAGTAGTGATTTACCGAATTAAAATTGTAACATATCCTAAGATTTTGAGATAAAATTTTATATGTACATATGTACAAAGAGTGTACGTATCTCAAATATAACAAACAAACTTGTTATCTATTCTTCCTTAACACATCACGGTGTGATGATCACTGATAGTGATGATGTTCAAAATCATCTTCCAACGTCACATAGTCGTAACTATCTGATATGTATTACAATATTATAATATGAAGTATATATTTATATATGAAATATTTAAAATCATTAATTAATATTAAGTCTCTCTCATTTAGTGCAGACTCATATGTAGAATGATTTAGAACGAAAATAAAATACTAGAATGAAAACGTTTTGAAACTGAATTTTAAATAATGTCAGTACACTTAATATATTGAATATCAAGAAATTATATTATTGATGTTATTTTAAATGGAAATAAAACATCAGGTCGTGATACTAACATTGACCAGTACATAAAACTAAAATACTATCTGTATGCAGAAATGTGGTAAGCGTGTTGAACGTAATGCGTCAGTGTTCTGAGATGAATTTGCATGTACTAATCACCTACATTTATAGGACAAGTTCATCATTATTCCACCAAATATCCCTATATACTATAACACACTTTTTAAATGTAAAACAACTTAAACCATAGTTTCTTAAGAAGAGGATACCATTTTATACGAGTAGACGACTGTTGTTTTACAATTGTTTAAATTGCTTTCAAGAGATAAAACTTCTTAGCATTCAATGGATTCACCGTGCGGATGTCCGGTCCATCGTTGCAAGGAGAGGAGCTTTAACAGTGACTGTGACTTGTGACCCAGGTGTAGGTTTAAGGGGCCCTATCTAACGCGTTAAACGCTCACCTCCACCGTCCAAGCTCCTCTCTCTGCCTCACCAAAGTTAGTCTTAAATTGTATCTGGTTTTAGAAGAGAGAAGATTTAATATTTTTTAATATGCACATAAACTTTACAACAGATAGTTTGTATAATAAATATGATTAATAATCTTAGACATACATACATATGTATATTCAAATTTAGGATATTAATTTTGTTTCGCAATTGTTGTGCCTTATTCTTTAACTAAAATTTTCACAATTGTCAAAAACACCATACGTTTAATAACACAATTTTTTTTTCATTAATTTGAAATTACGTTTCTATTAAAAAAGACGAAACTTCTCAGCATTCCATGGATTCACCGTGCGGGTGCCGGGTCCATCGCGTTGCAGGGGGAGGAGCTTCAACAGTGCCTGGGACTTGCGACCCAAGTGTAGGTTTAAGGGGCCCCTTAACTAACGCGCGTTATACGCTCACCTCCACTGTCCAAGCTCCTCTCCCTACCTAACCAAATTTGAAAAGAACCTACTAGGGCTGCCTTCGATGTACGTTCCAAGAATGCATTAATGTGAGTTCTGGACAAGCCCAAGTCCTTTAGTAAGTTATAGAGAGATTTCGCTGTTATACCTCTCGCTCCCACCTCTACCGCGTACAAATCTACTACGAACCTATTTCGAGTGAGTTCGTTTGTGAGCTCGTAATATTTGTTGACCTTGATGGTATGGTCTTTGGGGATGTTGGTTTCCCAAGGGACCGTAAGCTCTATCATCACTACGCGCTTTAAAATTCGCGAAAACAAAAATATATCCGGTCTGGAGGCCGACGCACAAATATCCTCGGGGATTTTATATTGTTTTTCATACGTGTCCATCATTATATGTATTATATGTATTATTTTATTGTATTATCCCAAACATGACAGACAAAGCCGTGGAGGAAAATAAGTTATATATATATATATATATATATATATATATATATATATATCGAAGTGTCAATACTTGAAATTAAATACTACTTAGAAATAATTGCAAACACGTGTACGAGAAAAAAAAGCCTTCAACATTGTTTAAACGACATTAGAACATATGACTGTTGGCGCGAAAACCTGTTTATGAAATTTAATACACCAATAGATTTAATTTGAATTCATTTAATTGTATAATATATAAAACAAAGAATTTTTAGGACTTTTAAGAGTTGACTGTACCAATATTATATAATGGAGATTTTGGTCTGATTTTTGGTTTAAACAAATTATTGTTTCGAATAAAAACAAATTAACTAGAAAAGCTATACCCTTGTTATACCAAAAAACCTATAGCTTCTACTAATAGGAGTTGAGAATGTATGAAAAATACGGAAACGGTGAAATTAAGGATTGTGGATAGCTTACAAAATTGTAAGACAGATCCCAGGACTGTTCTTTTAAAATAAGAATAACAAATATTCCCTAAACCAGATAAGAGAAGTCAGAAAGAGAACTCAATTGAGAGAAGTAGATGAAAATCATTGATTTTATAGATTATTTTATAGCTTATCTTATTCATTTTATGTAACATGTAAAATTTCAATATAATATATACAACACTCCAACAAGACAGATATCAAGATTCCTAGCTTTCTTCATTATTAACAGATGTTTTGTAAACATTAAAGTAAAATAGTTTATAAAATAGTACTTTACTGCTATCTTTTTTTATCAAGTAACTGCCTCACTTAAGTCCAAGGTTATTAGAGAAACTCGGAAAATATCTATTGTGGACATTATAAAAACAAATTCAGTCATTAATTGAGAACTTATACCTATGCCTTATCCCACATTAAATATGTATACAAGTTGCACTTAGATTATTATATATCTGAACTTATTATAATAAATTATTATCATAATTATCATCTATAATAAAATTTCTTTGTTTTACATTAAAAAGGCAACAAAATTTCTGATAATGAAGAATAATAATAAAATATTTTACACTTATCATTATTATCATATAAATATTTCTTATCGTTCATATAAAAGTTAACAAAAGCAACGTCATTTTATTATTTATGAATTAATATGAATATACGGAAGAAATAAAAATAAGGGTTTTCTGTGAACAGATCGAATGAAAGTGAAAAAACAGTAAAAACAGGTTTTCTCTTAAACCTATCATTTCATTTATTGACTTGTATCCAATTATAAAATATTTTATTACTTATATTATTAATACATAAACAAAAACAATTATTTAAATGATCTTGTTATATAAGACTGACTGTGAAAAAAAACTATAAGACAATATATAACATAAAAAATGTATATTTCAGTGATAGATGTTTACCAAATGAAGTTAAAATTTTGAACAAAAACGCTTTTCACTATGAAAATCCACCTAATTTTGAAACGAAATATTAGTAATAATAGAAATATGTTTTGTAAGAAAGAAAAATATTAGTGATAATATAAATATGTTTTGTATGAAAGAAAAAAAATATATCTTTACTATCGTCAATTTCAAAAGGATTTAAGCCTTAGACATACATTCAGTTACAAAATTAAACAGACAATGTAATAAACGTCTCTTATTAATAGCATTCAAAGCTATTATATATTTTTCTTTTAAAATTAATATTAAAGAATCTTAACGTTTTTAAATGTATCAACATACTTTTTTGTACTACTTAAGCACCGAGTATTAGATGATTTCAGTAAATTATTATGATTAATAACTACTATAGTTTACCTTAAATTAAATTCTTACCTAGCTATAGTGGCCGACGCTGTGAATAAATACAGGGTGTTGTAGAAGGCACAAAATATAATAGCAAATAATATATAAACAAAATTTCTTATCTGGAAGGTGCCCAGATCACCGACTTCCTTTAAAACATCGTCCACATTCAACTTATTTTTCTTCATTATTATACACTTGTACTATTTCACTACGTTTTCAACACATTTCTTATATTTTTATCTTATTTTTGTTGTGTTGACGCTCCATCTAAGTCTGAACGCTATGTCCGACTGATACTGTTAATAAATACATTTATTTGTATTGTCACTCAGACGGCCGGGAGTGTGACGCGTTGAGACGAACGAACGGAAGGTAGGTTGAACCGTCTTGAAAAATATATACGTGTTGTTTTAATAAAATACATTTAAACTTCTGTATCAGATATCAGATAAAAAGTATTGTATGATTGACGAAAAAGCCATAAAACATATATTATATATACTTATATAAAATTACTTCCGTCTTGCAATTCCTAACAAAATAATTCCAATACCATTTATTATTATGGAAAAATCTCATAAATTTTATGATGTATTGTTTATGGAATTTTGTTGCTTTTTGACGCTAATATATTTAACAGATTTTGATTAAACTTTGTAGTAAAGTAACTTAAGAATCAATAGCTATAGGCTATAATGAGATTTAAGACTTTCGAGTTTTATTCATTTAAATGAATTCACATGTCGTTTTCTCGTAATCACGGTTGTTAAAAAGTAACTGAAACGTCGGGAGTAGTAATTTTTTACAATAATAAATCGCGTAGTATATCCGAAAAATATAAGTTTCATTTAAATATAGGCTACAATTTATACCAAAACTACTGTGTCACAGGATCAAGGCATAACAATTTCATTCTGTACAAAGCGTCGCCTAATAATATCTATTATATTAGGACACTTTATATTTTTCTTTGAACACTTCTCTGAATTTCAAACCAAAGAAATCGCGGGCATAAACTAGTCATCTATAAATTATTCTAGGTACGTTATTTCAAATAGATACTTGCACACATTTATTACTATTATTGTGTGAGTTGTTAAAGTAAAAATATCTTAAAGACGGTGATAAAGAATATACAAGATGCAATGATTTTTAATAACCTACATACATATAAACATAACAAGTCCGTTAAGAAGTTTGTATTGTAATAATGACCCACCCACCTTGTCCTCAAAGTGTCTCAGCCATATTTAATTCATTATGCGAGTCAGGGACAGTCCTTTAAATCGCAAACAATTTTTATACACGCCAAATACTTTTGTTAAAAATATTTTAAGTTTTAATGTACAGGTTTAGGTAATTATTAAGTAATAAAATCTGTTAATTTCCGATTTTATTAATTATAAAAAAAAATCGACCAAGTCTGTGAGATGGAGAATAAATAACTAAAAAATGAACTTAAATATGTTTTAATGAAAAGAAAAGTATGACGGAGATAAATAATTAATATATGGTACTTCTTAAGACATTTCCACTACCAGTCTATTTCAATATTTTTTTTAACAATAAGTAAATAATGAAAACGCGTCATCGATCTCTAAGAAGAGTCCAAAGATTCGTCTATTTACACCCATAATCATACGCCCAGTACATACATACCGTGGTTGAAAGACGGTGAAATATTAAAATGACCCCATTTGAGACTATCTACAAAAGGAAATACTTATATGTAATATTTACAGCTAACTGCGTTTTAACTAATATGTATATCTTAATAATCTCTGATTTTTTAAAGCTGTTAAATTTTTATTTAATTATATGTAAGTAAGTATAATAAAAAAATATCCTTAAAAATCTTTTCAAATAACATTTATATATTAAATATAATATCAATATTTTATTATCTATGATAACTAAATATCATTAAAAAAAACAGAAATTTTTAAACAAAAGAGTATTTGGAATATCTACTTCGTAATTAGTATAGTTTTTAAACAGGTAAAAGTTAAATATAGGTAAATTGTGATTATTTTAAAAGATATTTAAACAAAGACATCTAAACGTGATATTCGTTCTTGAAGAAACGTTCCAGCAATTAAGCTGTTAACAGAAAATATTAATTCAAGTAAATAGTTTCGTGTTCTTAAACATAATAATTTAATTGCCCATAATTATAATAAACAGTTAATTCATACCTGGCGTTTAAATCAGCTGTCGTGAAGACGAATTGGCTTACATGAACCGCACTGAATATAATTGGGAGTAGAATAAGACAGTAGGTTTTAATTTGGTATCGACCGAATTGACCAATCTCCAGTAGAACACCGTCTAAATCAAACTCCTTTTTGCTCATTTTTCACAACACTCACAAATTATACATTTACACAAACTCTTTTACACCGTGTATTTGCTTTGTATGTTTTTAGCGGTGTGGCTTTTTTGATGGAAATAAGAATTAATCGCACTTAATATATAATAGATAAGAAATAAACGTAGTGACAAAATTTTGGCAATAACGATACGTAATTAAACGTTATTAGATACAATATCAAAGAGATAATGTGCTATAAAGAATCCTAATTAAAAGGGAAGGCGTGTGAAATGCCCTAATAATTATTTCTTTTTAATTATATTGATAGTTTTATCTAGATATATGTACATTATAACAAAACAGCAAGAGAATGAGAAAAAAAACCTACTAATTCAAAGAAATTATAATGAAAATAATTATTATTTTTATTCCTTTAACGATAATTATTGATTTATTGATACAACTATGAGCTGTGATATTATAATACAGAAATTTTGTTACATTAAAAATTTCATGATAAGCCTAATTTAACACGGACTATCTTCAATAATTCTAGTATTAATTGAATATATAATGAAAATTAATAAACTACGGTGCTCTATGCTTGAAGACTGTTATTTGTCTAATAGTTGTGCATTATTGATAGTTGTTATTTATAGATAAGGAACCGTATTTAGGCTTATCCTTGACAGTATATTGATGAGTTTCCTGTAACCTTTCACATTATTATTTACGAGGCTGTCGTTTTGTATACGGCACGGGAAAAATATTTAACTATTTGTATTTATATTATTACAAATATCTTATCTTTAGCAATCTAGGAAGAATTCATTGTTAAACATAAATCATTTTGATCATTTTAACTGCTTGATACTTTTACACACAATGTAGGTACCATTTTTTTCGTTAAATCTATATATTAAATAATGAAATAAAAGAAAAACTTCCATTAAGTAATATTTCCGACTAGCTTTTCTTACATCTCTGAGTATTGCAGTGTCTTGTGACACCTTTAACTAGATAAATGCTTATAAGTATTAAGGAACTGTAACTTGAAACGAAGCAAAAACCTTCTACATTGGACAACTTTGGACAATAGAAGTGATTCCTTCCTGCTCCTTATTCCAATATTTTTTTGGATAATTCATTTCGTTTGGGCTAGAAAATGTATTTGATTCCAGGTTTTCCGCGGCTTCTAATGTATAAATTTTCATGCAATAAATTTGTACTGTTACAAAATCTTTTCTTCTAACATGCACGTACGATTAATATTAGCGTACGTATTCCAAAAGTTGATACTGATTAAATATGATATTTTTTCTCCCAAATAGTATAAATGTTAAGTATCTAATTTTTGACCAGCTTACAAACAAATATGTATGTATTCAATTAAACACTCTCGTAAAGACGTTAATAATGTAACCAATGTGAAATATTTTTAATAAACCAAGCAACTTTTATCATCTATATAATTATGATCTACATTTAGTATTGAAAAATTTAAAATGTAATGCTATTTTACAATATATTCGGATTATTCTTATATAAAATATATTATTCCAAATTTTTATACACATATGATGAAGCAATTTTTATGAAATCTTATCAAAACTATTTTGCAAGTAGATATGAACACCTTGATTGTATTTAATCAATTATTTTTAATATTATCTTATTTGGTAATCCGAATAATTATTAGGAGAATTGAAATATTTTTGTGATTTATCGAACATATTTAGGTTTCATTCTTTAAGATAATGGCGATAAAACATGCCACGGACCTGTGGACTTGAGCAATATACTATTTGCAATCCATATTGATTTTTGACTGGTATATTTTAACAATATTGTCCGAATCATCTCAGAAGCGATGACTAATAATCACTAAATATTATATAATTTACAACTATCGTAAGGTCCCTTAAAATTTTTGTCAAATGCAGAATGTTGAATGAATGTGTAGACATTACTTTCCTAAAAATTTAACATGAAGAAATCCTATGAAAATAAACCTTAACCTTCTCTACTAGCAATCATTTCTAGTAGGTACACGTAGCTTTGGAAATTCTAGTTTTATAGATCTGAAAAATTCGTCATGATACCTGTGGTATATTGACTGCGATGTAAGCCGGACTCCTATCACCTAAGGCTTATTTAACTGATAGCATAAAATCGGGCGATGTGAATAGATTGCGAGTTCACCTTTTGTATCATATAAATAAAATATAATATGTAATTAATTAAAGATAAGAGTTCCTCCAGAGATGTTCTCTTTTAGTAATTAATAATAACTTAGAAATTGTAGAAGTGAAGGCGTACATCTAGGCTGGTGTAATTTTCTGACAGTTTTTAAGCTTTCAATACGCATCAATCGTTACGACAGTCGCTACATATGTACTAATACGTATACGAACAACTTATAATAACAAAAAATTTTTCTTACATTAGCGTGTATTAACGACAGACACTCTTAAAATCCGACTGAAAGACTTCGGCCACCAGTGATCTCATAATAAATAAATGAAGGTTGTTGAAAGAGTCAATATTTAAATTTAATTACAAGATCGAATAAGTGGTCATTATAAATCACACCCGCAAAAACGAAAGCTCTATGAAAAGATGCCCAAAAGACCCTATATATTTGACTAGCTTTAGCCGCGACTTCGTCCGCGTGGAATAGTGACTTCCGGCAGATTTTTGGTTTTTCCCACATACCTACATAGTTCCCGTTCTTGCTGGGTTTTCGGAATGGTCGAGTTCCCGTAGAATTTTCAGGATAAGACCTATGTTTTTTTTTATTCACAATGAAGTACTCTTAACCAACAACATATTTATTTGTTTATTTGAATAAAGATTAATATTATTGTGTTGATACAACTTAAACAAATTATTACGACCAAATTAGGTACCATAAAACGGTTTTTGTGAGTTAATCTTAAAAGATATACATATACTGTCGCGGACTGTTTTTTAGATCATTAAAAGATCTTTTGTGTATTTCGAACCGTTTTCACGGCGCACGCAACGGAAGGCTCAAAGATGAAATAATTTCTCCCGTTTTTTACACATTTACCACTATATCTATGGTCCTATTGGTCGTAGCGTGATGTTATATAGCCCACAGCCTTCCTCGATAACTGGACTATCCAACACAAAAAGAATTATTCAATTTGAACCAGCAGTTTCGGAGATTAGCGCTTCCAAACAAACAAACAAACTCTTCAGCTTTATAATATTAGTATAGATAGGTGATTTAAAACTTAGTCAAAAACGATGTGTGACAACTGCATTTTGAGATTAACAATATAATTCGCAACGAACGTATGGAATAACATGGAACCTTCAATAAATTTATCTTAAGTATCCAGATTTAAAACCAGTGTACAACATTTTAGTTGTAAGGGTTGCAATGTTTATAGCCTTTTTTTATGATTCATTGTAGCCTTTTCTTTACGTAGAATCAATATTTATATTAGTAATAAGTAAATATATATTTATTATATTCAGTAAAACAGAGTAAGATTTTTACACAGAGATACCAACTTTATATTATATCCTTTTCTTGTTTTTATTCTGATAAGAAATAATACCTTAGCTATGTAAGTTGCTGAGAATTTAACTACCAATTTATCAAGATAAACTCAATTCTTTACAAGTTTTTAAAAACAATACTTCTTTTTATAATCCGGTTATCAGAATGTGCCGCCTTTATAATGAAATAAGTAATAATAATAATCAAGAAATTGATATTTTTAACACAAAGCAAGCGATCATATTCTTGTAAAAACTAAAAAAATGTCTATCTTAAAAATGCAATCTTGTAAATTTAAAAAATTGTAATTATTAACAATTACATTTCTTTTGTATTTTTTGTAACTTCAAACAAAAATTGTTTATTATACCATTTATTTTCTTCTTGTAAATTTAATTCGTGTAACTGTATTTTTGTTTTAGTACTAATATATTATAGTTATCTCCTGTATAATAATTGGCGATCCCGTCATGTTGTGCATGCAGCCTTAGGGTCATAATCTGTTCGATACTATTAATGTTTAAGAAATATTCTCTGTGATTGTGACCTGTTGTGTTTGCCTTAATAAATAAATAAATACATTATTTGTGTTGCGGTTTTGAGACTTAATTTCTTTGCTATGCAAAACTTTGTAAGGATCTATTTAACAGTATACAGAAAACGAGATTCCAAATCAGAATTTTTCGTTTCTAATTTTATTATCCTCAGGAATTAGCTGTTTATAATATGGCAAATAAATAAATAATCTCTAGGTATGTATTGATTGAAACATTATATGTAATTCTTACCTCGCCTTTACCTCCTTCGCTGCAAAGATGTACTGACAGTTGTAAATGGCGCTGAAAATAATCACTACAAGTATGAGGCCGTAGTTTTGTTTTTGATGCCGACCGTACTTTAACTCGTTCAGAATATTGTCCAAGTCAATTGATTGTTTGTGTTTAGTCATTTCCAAAATTTTTATCACATCCTATATACTTCTTAGTGATCGTGAACAATGAGAAAATTTTTCACTATTTATGGGCTATATTTTAAGGGCCCACCAAAACTTTTCTACGTCTACAATATTCACTCATTCACAAAAATAACTAGAATTTTACTGTTTATTATGAAAATAAATATAACAAGATCCTATCAAAGCGTGTATATTGTTTACATTTTAAATCAAAGTCATTGTCACTCCGGCCTAGATGATATAGAATCTCGAATGTAAACTCCTTGGCTTACAATACTTAGGTCTGATAACGAACAAATATTTACTCAAAAAAATTTTTTTTCCATTTTATTATTAATAGATATTTTTAAAAGTGAATGTACTATATAATTTTGACAAGTGGTCATTTACATATGTATATGGATGGTTAAATGTAGGAGGGTAGTTTGTAAATGTAAATATTAAAATATTTATTACTACTGTTTTTTGTAGAAGCTTTGGAACCTTAAAATAATGTTTATTGTTCAGCTAACACAAGACTAAATAAACTGTGATTAAACTGAACCGTTTGATCAAAATTTCTTTGCCAAATCGCTTCAAAGGACTAGGAATACAAAATACAAAGAAAAAGTAAAGTTATAACATTACACCTTTATATGCACAAACATTATATTTACATCAACATTGAACTACAAGTGTACAGGGGGCGACGGCCGAGAAATTACAATATTTACACACAGGTTGCTCACTGTATCACACGATACATACATGTTCAATACATAAAGCTTACCATTAGTTCGACTATCAGTTTCAAGTAACGTGAGGAGATTGATTATTAACTGGCAACCGATATATATAAAAATAAAATACTTATTATATTTCTGTACATTATCATACAAGATCGACATACGCGACTATTGGAAGTGATTCAAGTATACACTGAAACGGTAACTTTCATAGTGAGTTACACGGAGTAACTTACAGTTATACGTATACGACTCGGATTAATGGCGAGTACTAGGAATGTTACTTGTACTACATATTACATTAACAAACTATTTGGAACATACAGACAGACAGACATGAATTATTACATACATATACATATATCACGAGAAATTAACCACCAACCATGAAAATCCCGAAACCTGGCCGTTCATACTGAAATAGACTCTAACGCGAGGACATAAAGCATTAATTCCTCTACCCTTGGACGGGACGAACAAACGCCGACCGTTGAACGATAGATATAGTATAAATGTCGACTAGGAAAGCTCTTGTGCTCTACAAAAATCAACTTTGGACCCATAAACTAGTGAAATTCAATAAATCCATCTAAAACATCTAAAAAATGCTATGAAATACAGTCGAGGTTCACAATAATACACTTCAGAAACGAGACGCGACTCACGTGCGTATAGGAACAGTAGGTTTAGTACAAGTTAGTTCAACACACTACATACTTAACGTTACACGTTACTCGTACTATGACCCATGTTAATACTATAATATGACAAGATTCATGATAAACTGTTAACTCTACGTGTGTAGTGTGTAAACTTGGACTAAACATACAGCGGTTATACATAGGTTTTAAAATTACAGCTTTAGGAAAATTACAATACATTACAAGTTTAACGTAATACAGAAATATTGTTTCTGGAAACACATGATATTAAATAATTTTACAGAGAAAACATATTCGTTCTTTTAAAACACACACACATACACACACATAGACATACAAATACATATATGTATATATGTGTGTGTAATGGAATTCAAAAAATTATAATTCTATTTTTAACAAAGTACTTTTGCAATACAGTCATCTATAATTACAATTAACTATAAGGAAAATAAATTAAATAATTTATTAAATGAACGTCGGAAACGTCAATTCCTTGGCATCATTAGACGAAACAAATGTTGATGATAACCTTAAACAGAATTTATCAATTAATTTGTTAAACCTTCACTATTTACTTATTATATTATTTTCCCGCTAACCATAATAGTTCAGTCTGATAGACTAACCATTAGTTTAGAATTTGCCGAGTAAGTTAGTCGAATATAGTGAGAAAAATCTTTTGTCACAGACAATATACGCCTTATTGTCATAGAAATAGAGACGTTTTTACATGAATCGTTCACTTATTGTCTAAAAGATACATCTATAGGATACACGCGACTAATATATAATAAACATGAACCAAGATTACCGCCACTCTAACAACTGAGCCATAACCCCCACGTATAATACATTATTTATTGCCAGTAACCTTCCATATAATTGAACATTTCTTATACATTTTAACACTAATAAAGTTAATAAATACCTCAAAGACTTTATTTACTGGAAATACTAGATTTATATTTGAACAGTACCAACATGATAGAAAACTATTAATATAAATACCAACATTAAATAAGTTACTACGTATGAAAACAGATTATTAATTTGTTCTTTAGATTATATATTCTGTATAATGTTTACTCCTTATAAGCGACTAATATTAACTGAACGCTCTTATGCATATTCATATAGACACCATATTCGCCTGGCAGTTGATTATTACATTAAGTGTAGCAAATATACATATATAACATATTTATATGTTCACACACCGAGCGGTATGTCTGCATTCATTAGAAACTATATTGAACTAATTTTCACATATATATCTGACGTGGATTGAATTTTAGTACATTTTGAAGTAAAACTTCTAATGCGTTCTAACAAGGTTGCGTTAAACGTTTAACGCTTTTGAGAGGAGGAATAGAAAGAGATGGAGCGAGAATAAATGGATGGGTTAGTTGTAAATTGTAAGCAATATTTATAAATTATGTATTAAACAAACAATATGAGGTCGCTAATAATTGATTTCTATCCAATACTATTTTCATTTCCATATTACTAAGCTTCACTTTAGCTTTCATAGATTGTAGCTAATAACTACAGCTCGAACTTATAATGGCTCGAGCCAACCTACTAGCCTTTGACAAAGGATTGGCATAACGTTTAAGAATTAATGCGTTTTGTTCAATGACTCAAACAGTTATATTACGAAGTTTCACTTCTTCCATTCTATATATATTTTCAAGTCCGTAAATCGACTTCTTACAGACCGCCGAGTTTGTTAGTAAGAGCATTAGGAAGTTTCACTTCTTTATCAACATGTATTCTCGAGTCTGTAAATGGATTTGTTACTTATATATATACTCTGCCGGTGTAGTAGGTTATTTGTTAATCTGCTGCCCGGATAAAAGAGGAGGGTTCATCACGAAGCTAACCATCCACAGAAAACAGATACGGTTACGAACACATCCACAACAGATATATATATATGGTCGGTGTTCATAGCGGCAGTCTGTCCGCAGTGAGCGCGTGTAGCGCATGCGCAGAATGCAGCGGGTGCAGCGCCAGCGCGGCGGCGGCGGCGTCAGCGGCGGCGGCCGGCTCGCCCAGCGCGGACAACACCAGCGACAGGCGGCGCCACGTGTCCGCGCGGGAAGGCTCTAGAGAACCCGCCTCGCGGAACGTGCGCTCGGCGAGACGGAGCCAGCCGAGGGAGTAGTAGGTGGCGCCTGGGTAAAGGAGACTCCGCGTTAGTACACGTAAAACATATAACAGGAAGCGAGGGGATTTCTGAAGAGTGACATCGTGTGAAGGGATATGGTATGTAGTACGTACACGGGGGCGCGATGGAGCGACGGCCCAGGGCGCCAAATTTGGGGGGCGATTAGTGGAGGTAGGATACTTATAAATGAAAAAAAAATAGGAGCTACATAACATTCTACGTCCACGTCGTTAGCTTTGAGTCACGCTAAAGGAAAGATGGAAGATGGTAGATGGAATATAGAATTCTTAATATACGTTCAGTGTTCACATTGGTTCAGAAAAAAATTAATACTTGGTTTTGATTTCTTCAAGTGTGAATTCAAAATTTCAAAAATTTACAAACTTGATTTATATTTATAGTGTCCTAAATGTGTGTTCTCACCATTCAAAACGTTTCTTATGTAGTGACAATGGACACTTCTACTATGGCTACTGGGATACCCAGTCGTGATCGTGTAGTTGTAGTGCAGTGTATTACGCCCTACCTCGCTCGGGTTGCTTTGGCTAAAAGCAGTTGAGATCCATATTGCTCGACACAGATTTTATGACTTGGAATGTACACATATAAGTATATTTCAATCGGGAGGTGTAACAGTGAGTGTGTGTGGTGGACACGTGTATGTATATGTTATGAATATAGTAAGCGGCGCCCCACAGACCGAGCTGCACGATGCTGTCGAGGTGTGTGGGGTGTATGGCCAGCGCGTTGGTGAAGCACTGGCGCGCCTCCTCCCAGTTGGAGCTCGCCGCGTGGACCAGCCCGCGCTACACACACACATACATACATTAATACACAAATATACAGGGTGACTGGTGAATTACTATCAATATTTAAGGAGAATACTCGGTACATGATTCTCATTCGAATTATGTAAAAAAATAGGTACTTAATTTTTGACCAAATTTCCGTATAAATAAATAAAGTGTGGACACGTTCCAAGTGTTCCAAGTGTGGACGCGTGCGGCGGCGTGCTGACACAACACCACGCCGCCGCACGCGTGTGTGTGTGTGTGTGTGTGTGTGCGTATACCTAATCTGTAGGGTGTTCACACGATGCGTAATTAATTACATAACTTTTGGTTAACTTTACTTAGAAGTTTATTAATATTTATGTCATATTAATTTTTATTTTGTCATATATGATCGTCAAATATCACGTCCTCAAGTATCGATAGTAATTCACCAGTCACCCTGTATATAATATCTTTAGTATATAACCTTCAAAGATATAAGATCATGTCCTTACTTCATGTTTACATACGAATAGGTTTCAGTTCCTCATTCAAAACATACTTTAATACTCATGAAAAAGTATATGAATGAAAAACACTACATTCTCATTATGAGATTTGGTTATTCGAAATCTTAACAAGGATACTATTGACTAAGCGTTTACTTTTAACTATTCTTAGACCCAGTTTCACCAATCATTGTTAAATAAGTAACATCGTGTTAATGCGTTTGATGCTCTGTTAGATGTATCGAGCGTCCCAAAACGCACAAATGTCCGTTTAAATGTCTTAACAAGCCACTAATATTAATTCCTGCTCTGGAGCTCCGTCTAATGGCTAACAGAATGTTAATGCATTGTCAAAACTCAATTGTCCAATCACAGCCCTGATTTCTTGTAACCATAGTAATCATCTGTTTTGTCAGTTTCGACTATTTCCTTGTACTTATTAATAAAATGAATTAAAATTTCATATCCTATGAGTATTTTGCCTCCAGCTTTTTTATAACATTGCAAATTAAATTTTCTTTTTATCTCTTATGATTTGAACACAAGTTATGCCTATATTTATAACATAATAATATATAACACAATTTATTGACAGCCCGATTTTGACAGGATACACCAAGTAAATTGAAAAGAAAGCTTTTTGTGTGCCAAATAAATGTAACCAACGATATATAAAATTTGGTAGCATTACCTAAAAAGTGACGTATCGAGGGATATATACGATCAAAGTATAAAGTGGTGCATCGTGTCAAACGTGTCGTATTAAACGCTATAGTTTCCATTTGGTCGTCTTATAACAAGAAAGAATAATTTGGTAGTCGGCCATTTGACATGGCGTTTAATAATGCGTTGTTTATTGTCATTGTGGGACGTAAATATTTTAACATACCTTTATAATTATGTAGGTTGGTTAGTAAATGCTGTGATAAGCTTAAACAAACATTGAATGGTGAAACTGGGTCTTAAGATCACTAAGAATAGATTAATTATATTTCATAATAATAATTAATAATAAAATATATTACGGTGTAGAGCACGAGGTGACTAAAAGGAGTTAGTGTAGCGGCTTCGGACACACAGCCGGCCGCCGCGCTAACACGGTCCAACCTGAAAATTAACAAATAATACAATAATAACAATATATATAATTGAAACATATGGAGAATATTGTTTTGTGGTGATGACACTATGAATAAAAACTATAAAGGTTTCATTGGATACAGAATTATGTAAAAATGCTATTAATGAAGTAGTGGAATCTAACTTGATATGCTTATATTTAAGCATATCAAGTTAGATTTTTAGTTCAGTGTAAAAATTTAAAATTCAGTATCGAGAGAATCAATGTGATAAATTATTATTCAATAAATATACAGGGTGACTGGTGAATTACTATCAATATTTAAGGAGCATACTCGGTACACGATTCTCATTCGAATTATGTAAAAAAAATAGGTACTTAATTTTTGACCAAATTTCCGTATAAATAAATAAAGTTTGGACACGTACCCAGCCTTGCCGGCGCCAGTGTGTCGCTACTCCCCACCGACCCCCCGTGGCTAATTAGTCGGGCGAGCGCCGCCGTAAGGTCCGTACGTTCGTCTTCCCGCGCGCGCGCCTAGCGATCGATCTTACGCGTATACCTAATAATAATCAGTCGTGTGTGCGTGTGACCCGTTATTACTTATTAGTAATTAAGTATGGCTTTTCAATACACAAATGCAGAATACTTGGACATGGTTCATGCGTATGCGCGTGCAAATGATAGCTTGCCGGGCGCAATCAATTTGTACCGGGAGATGTTCCCCATTCGTCGAGTACCTACGGCCAGCGTCATCTTAAACGCTAATCAAAGATTACGAGACTTCGGATAGTTCCGTGTTCCAACACATGCCCAAGGAAACGTCTTGTGTATGCTACAGAGTATGTAAACAGAGAGGAGTTGAAATTATAAATCAATAGTGATTTCAAAACTATTAAAAGTGACCCATTCGTATTAAATCGTGTGAAAGACAATATTATGTGTAAACGTGCCGAACTGTGTATCACACGAGAAGGAGCTCGCTTTGAACATTTGTTAAGGTTAGTGTAGTTATGTAGGTAAATAGGTAGTTTAATGATTGACAATTGTTGTAAATAAGTATGATTCCATTTTTAAATACGCCGGAAATACCAAGATAGGTAAACAGTTCATATTATTCTTTGTGTCAAGGTCACACCATTTACCTAGTCAATAAATTGGTTGCTTAAACGAAAGAAATAACTTGGTATTTTTGCCTGTCCTAAGCCAGGATTAAAGTATGAAGGGAATTGGATCATTTTTGATTATCTAAGGTCTAACACGCGGCGGCGCGCGGCGTTTGGATGTAGGTAAACTACCGCGCGATAACTACATATACCTACGTACATAACTGTTTTGTGTCGATAACGCAGCTAGGGTATCCACGCGATCCGTAATTAACTTTAGGTTAACTTTACTCAGAAATTTATTAATATTTATGTTATATTAATTTTTATTTTGTCATATATGATCGTCAACTACCACGTCCTTAAATATTGATAGTAATTCACCAGTCACCCTGTATACTATGTGAAACAATTAATTCATATTAAATTCAGAACTACGCTTCAACTCGATCAGTTTTATGGTACACTTCACTGAAAGAATAACACAGCTACACATGTATGTACTTTAACTAAAGATTACACTTCAAATATAGACGCATTATCTCGTTAATCCTTACTAATATTATAAATGCGGAAGTAATTCTGTCTGTCTGTTACGCGTTCACGCCTAAACCACTGAACTGATTTTAAAGAAATTTGGTACAGACATAGAGTTGACCTTGAGAAAGAACATAGGATAGTTTTTATCCCAGACTTTTGAAAGGTTCTCTTGGAAACGCCATATAACCGAACTCCACGCGGGCGAAGCTGCGGGCGGAAAGCTAGTAAGTTTAATATAGTTCATGATCCTGAGTGTTACGTTACGTTACGTTATATCTAACCTGAGGTACAAGTCAGCCAGTAGTAGCCAGGCGTGCGCCTTGTGTTCAGCGAGCGCGCTGCGGGGCTTGTTGGTGACCGAGGACGCGCCCTCCGACAACGCGCGCTCCATGCGGTACGCGCCCGCTGACTCCGCGCGGATAGATGCTGGAACATACACATAAATATCTTTAATATATAATTCTTCTGTGAGTGTGTATGTCACTGAACTTCTAACAAACGACTGGACCGATTTTGATGAATTTTTTTGTGTGTGTTCAAGGGGATCTGAAAATGGTTTAGATTCACAATTTTGCCCGCTGGACAATGTTTTTTTAATTAATTTTTAATTTATAAGTAGTTATTGATACAAACGTTTTTTTTTTACATTAGATTTGACAACTAAGAAATATGTCAATCATTCTGTCGCACTTCAAAACACTGAGATTTATGCCTTTAATAGGTAAACTCCAAAAATATAAATAAAATAACGTAACAGATATTTCTTGATTATAGGGCGATACGAAGTTCGCTGGGTCTTCTAGTAGGTATATACATATATATATTTCCGGATTACAACGAGTTCATCTTCGTGATCACGGTTGTTGCAAAGTAACGGAAACGTCGGGAGTATGTAATCTTATAATATTAGATTCATCTATCAGAAAACATCAATTAATCCATGGGCATGCGTGTTTGAGTGTGCATGTCTGTGTGTCTGTCTGTATGTGTCTGTGTGTCCGTGTGTGTGTCCGTGTGTATGTACCAGCGTCCCTGGTGCTCCGTCCATCGTCCCTCTGTGAGTCAGACAGCGCGTCCAGCTCAGCCCCGTCGGCGTGCTCCGGGTCCAGCTCTTCCGAGCTCGTTAATAGCTTTAACAGCTCCTTGCCCGTACTGAGAGCTGCCTGCGAACAATACACACATATATATATATATATATATATATATATATATATATATATATATATATATATATATATATATATAACACTATCAATAACATAGAAGTCTAGATTAATGATGATTAGTGGATGAACGAAACATAATGTCAGTTTTAGAATTATATACTAGCAGTAAACCTAGGTTGTATTAAAGACAAAATTTTACAAAATAGTAAATATATTTTTTTTATGTAAAAGGTGTCAAACGAGCAGACGGTCTCCTTGATGGTCAGTAGTGACCGTCGCCCATTGACATTCGCAACATAGATGTTATGAATGCGTTGCCAACCTTGATTGTTGAGGAAAAGGGAGGGGTGGGAATAGGGAAATAGCAGGAAAGGGTGGGAACAGGGAAAGGGCAACCGGCTCTCTCACTCATCGGACGAAACGCAGTCATTATTGACTACTTCACGCCGACCTTCTGTGAGAGGATAGTACTTCCCCAGTCGAGCCAACCCATGTTCGAGCTGTAGTATCTAAACTACAGCTAGGCTCTACCACTTAAAAAATAGTAAATATATATGTTATGTATGTGTACCTCCCCACTCTCCCACAGCAGTTGCAGCGCTGCCAAGCTGTGTAGCGGCCAGTGAGCGGCCGGGTGGTGTAGGTGAGCGAGCCGCGCCGCCGACAACGCCCGCGCGCCTCTCACGCCCGCACACGCTGACGACCACAGAGACGTCGCTAGACGAAGACCGCCCGCACACTCCGCGCGGACTGACAGGCACGACCGGGTGGCGTCCTATACACATACATACATATATATATCATATATGAAGGTTATAAGTAATGTATTAAGTAGGCTATATAAACTTATATGAACGTATAGTGCGTTTGATTTAAACTGAGCTTTGCATTTGTGTGTGTGTACACGGATAGTGTACGTGTAATGTCAAATTTTAGAATGAAACATTCTTTTCTAGTTTTGAACCAGTTTATTCTGCTTTTACTCCGCCCCGCACCTTCCGCACTTCACCCTTTGTACTGGTAGCAAAATCAAATGTTAAAAAAGCAATGTCAAGTGAAGAAGAATTTGTAGTTTTTTCAAAAAAAATTTCCATAATATTCATAATATTTATGTATCTTATTTAAAATGTAATAGAATTGATTTCTAAAAGTTTTTTTTGTCTAACTCTACTTTTACTTTCACTCACACAAATGCAAAGCTCAGCTTAAGTCTAACGGACTATAAAGTTACATATCCTCAATGTACCCTTTTCTGCTGACTCTACACCTTATTCCTGCCTCATCAGAACTTCTCCTTGCCCCCGCTCAGCCATCCATCACACATTTCAGTCTCAATCCATCATCCATTAAAAACGGTCGCGTCTACTTTTCACACTAAATCTTTTTTTTAAAACCCTTCAACCCTGAGGCTCATAACAGTAAGCGCGTTATCGACTTGTTTTTCAGTTCATGAGTAACACACTCGTGTGATCATTATGAATGTTACAATAGTAATGTATAAAGTAGGCCATGTATTATATTATATGTATTATGCTGAAGTGGGCCAAACGCCAAAAGAGATAGGAATATTCAGCGGACCCTATTTATAAATAAACGAGTACCCACATATCAGCTGATAAAATGAGTCACCAATTCTATGACTCTAATTGGTCGCTTTACAATATAATAATAATTGCATGTGTTTTCTAATTATCGATAGTGTCTTTTTCATTACGCATCACTAGAATAGACGGGTCTATATGACCTATGAGTGTGAGCAAGACGGATATATATAAATGATGTACGTACACATTAGAGCTATGAGTGTAAGCGAGACAGATGAATATAAATTATGTATGTATACATAAGAGCTATGAGTGTGAGCGAGACAGATATATATATAAATGGTGTACGTATACATAAGAGCTATGAATGTGAGCGAGACAGATATATAGTAGTGTGTGTCTGACCATGGCTTCGTTGAGCAGCCCCAGGTGCATGTACTGCAGCGCCAGGTGGTAGAAGGCCAGGTGGTCGTTCTGGTCCAGCGTCACGGCTCGTAATAACATCTTCAAACTCTTGTCGTTTTCCGCCTCTTTATCTATTCTGGAATTCGTTTTCTGTAACGCGATTTCCTATTATTACTATCAATTATTTACAAAGACTCAAGTTGAACCCAAAATCCACAGATAATTAATCCTGATAATATTATAATTGCGAAAGTTTGTGTGCGTATGTTTGTCACTTCTTCACGCTCAGACGGCTCATTCAATTTTGATAAAATTTTGTATACAGGAAACTGACGTCCAGGAATAGACCATAGGCTACTTTACATCCCGAAAATCCCGAAACACCGCGGGGCGCAGCTAGTGTAGTATAATTTAATAACTCTCCAGTCATAGTTCTAGTAAGTTAGTGTGTGATACTACCCTCGCCCCCCTACTACGTCCGTATCATACCTGAGCCTTCATCTGGTACCCAACCCCACACATGAGGTAGCACCTCGCCAGTAGAGGTCCCTCTCGCCCCTCCTCTATACTGAGAGCCTCCTCAGACCACTCGATGCCCTCCTCTATCTGTTAACACGAGTATTGTGAATACAGATTATAAAATATGGAGTTCAATGTTATCTGTATTAAATAAACCATTTTTGTGTTATCTTAATATATATAATTCTTCTGTGAGTGTGTATGTCACTGAACTTCTCTCAAACGACAGGACCGATTTTGATGAAATTTTTTGTGTGTGTTTAAGGGGATCTGGGAAAGGTTTAGATTCACAATTTTGTCCGCTGGACAATGTTCTTTTAATTAATTTTTAATTTAATAGTAATTGTTGATACAATTTTTTTTTTGACATTAGATTTGACAACTAACTAATATGTCAATCATTCTGTCGCACTTCAAAACACGGAGATTTATGCCTTTAATAGGTAAACTCCAAAAATATAAATAAAAAAACGTAACAGATATTTCTTGATTATAGGGCGAATCGAAGTTCGCTGGGTCTTCTAGTTATAATATAATTATGTATGTCATACGTCGAGTAAGGAATAATAATGTGACTGCAGTGTATTTGACGACTTCGAGGAAAATGTATCATGATAATCACACCTACATAAAATGAAAATAATATTCTCCGTGAATTGATGTATTTTATATCTGACTCAAAATAAAGGCTTGTATAAACAGATAAGACCGTCCGCTAGTGACGTCACGTATGTATGTATGTATGTGTGTGTCTGTACCCATCGCGCCCTGTAGGCCGTGTGAGCCGCCACCAGTCGGAGGGCGCAGTCCCCGGGCACGAGGGGGGCGGAGCGCCGGGATACTCCTAGGGCGCGAACAGTGGAGCCCCACACAGATGACCCTGGAAATATAGAAGTTAAACTAATTGATATAGTATGTTAGGGCGAGGGTAGTTTACGATAGTTCGTATTAGTGTAGCTTAAGACATTAGTATAAGTTTTTGAAATTAAAGCAATGTTCTCATAACACTGAATTAAAATTCAAATAGAATCAACGATGAAATTCGTAAAGGACAGTAATTTAAACAACTGCTATGACATAATTTTATAACTATTGAGTTATTTTGCGAGCTATAAGTCCTTGTCTTAGGTATTCTCTTCTTCTTCTACCTGGCAATTTCCCAGCTTTAGCCAGGGTCTGCTTTACATGTTGTGAATAGTTTTGGCTAATTGTTTTTACGACCGGCCGACTGCCTGACATCAACCCTCTTTGGGAATGCATTAATCAGTGATGTCTAAATACTCTTAGAGAGTACATATGACTCGGAAAAATTATATTGGTACTTGCCAGGATCGAACCCGCGCCTTTATGCATATGAGGCGGGCCTTTTAACCACTAGAACACCACTGACTTTGCCTTAGGTATTGTTATATGTTATATACAACATGTGTGTGTGTGTGTGTATGTGTGTTCTGTATATATACATACCGTTTGCCTGTTTGTGTGTCTCGAGGTGCGCGGCGGCTGCCGTTGCGAGGGCGCGTTGTCTCCAGATGTGAGCGCAGCCGAATGAAAACTTCATAGCGCGCTCCAGAGACTGGAAATACATGAAATATACTATAGCAAAAGATTGATTGTATGGATGTTTGTCGCTCTGTTACAAAAAATATACCAAACGGATTTTAATGAAACTTTACAATATAGCGTTTTGGCTATATGACGTCTGCTTTGGAATTAAATATGGACCAAGATATATCTGTTGGAGTGATGTGGTTGGCGCGGAATAAGTAATAATTGAATAAAGTCAGGCATGTAATACAGATAGATGTCGCTGTGTTCGATTAATGCGTAATATTTTTTTCTTATTGAACAAAATGATGTATTAGAACAATAAAACTGCACACAACGTCCTGATATAAAATATTATACTAATGCATTTGTATTAAAAACGTCATTATTTTTCTATATAAATAATTAATTTCACATAATTTAATAGTAATGTGTAACTACTTAATTACTTATATTTGAAACAACAAATACCGAGGTGAGTGTGCAGTGTGTATACCTCGATATACCGATCTATCATTAGACCATTGTACAGTATGAACCGTGCTTTGTACAGTATTAACCGTGCAGTATTAATTTCTGGTCCAGAAAAGGAGAATTTGTCGCGAATCGTTCCTCGCGAACTCATACACGCGAGTCGAGATACTATGGTCGAGTTGTTGGGCCATCTAACGAGCAAATTCCAGAGCTATGTACGTATCTAGGGTAAATTCGTTCCTATATATTCGCATGTAGGTACGCTCTGTCTGGGCGAACCAGTCGCGCGTGATACTCAGTCGCGCGTGATATATATATATATATATATATATATACAGTAACTAACAGAGGACGTTAATCCGCAATAATATAGCATGCATGCATACAAAATAATTACCAAACGAAAATTCAGTTTATTTTATGCTTATTTTTCTATTCTGATATATTTATTTTAATCTATTACTGATATATATTAACGAGTTCAAGGGATATATATATATACGTGTCGCACTGTATACTGTGTGTTACCTCTATAACGACAGCCAACTGTCCCCATCTGATCGTAGCGAGCGCCAGTAAGTCGACTAGCGCGGCGGCCGTCCTCAGTGAATGCGCCCTCAGGGATTCGAACTCCGTACTCTGAGACAACACAGCGTCCCTCACAGCCATCGCCTCGCCGACTAGCAGTAGTAACACTGCCTCTTCGTGCTCCGTGCGAGGAACGAACTGGAACATACATACATACATACATACATAACTGGAACATACACACATACTTATGTAAGAAGAATAATTATCTGTCTAAACATTTTTTATATTTAAATGAAACTAATATTTTTGATTAGAAACTACATACTCCCGACGTATCTCGTCTTAATGATCACGGTTGCTGAAAAGTAACCGAAACGTCGGTAGTATGTAGTTTCTAATCAAAAATAAAAACGCGAAGTAAAATCCGAAAAATATTAGTTTCATTTAAATGAGTACTCGCGAAAATCTTAGATCTCATTATTTTTTATATTATCTGTCAATTGTTATGCAGTTATTATAATGAAGTGTAACCGTTAGAGTGTGAAAGAGAAATGCAAGATTAGTCGTTGTGTGAAAGGGATCGAAAATAGAATAGGTTAGCTAAGAAAAGGATGCAAGAAATAAAGACAGTATTAAAATGTTATTCGTAGTTTTAATATTAACACTTGGAGTATTCATTGTGAAACTCATACTTTTTGGACTACTATGTGTTATGAAATTATTTTCGCGAGGCACGAACTTGAATATGGACTTCCAAAACTTGGGGTATTCATTGTGAGACTGATATTTTACTTACATATTACAATTAAAGTGCGAAATTCTTATAAAGAATGTCTTTCCAAATTATACCTATTCTCTTCTTGCCATTAAGAATTGTCGAAAAAAAAATTCAAGTAAACAAATATTTTCGGATTACTATGCGTTATTTTATTATAAATATACTCCCGAGGTTTAGGTTACTTTTCAGCAACCGTGATCACAAAGACGAGATGTAGGTATTTGTCAATTAGGCGTCCATACATTTACAATAATATTGCACAATATAGTTGATCATACAATATTAGCAGTGTAGGAATAATATTGAAAAATTACACAATGATTGAACAGAAGTTTGAGCGAGCTTAAATTTTATAGCGCAATATTTACTAGCATGGCTGCAAACATAACTTGTTCGTCAGTTTCTCTCGTGGAAATATTGACGTGAATGGTTTGTCAATGCTAAATATTACTAAACGTTTGGAT